AGCAAGTCTTTCGTTATCATGATAAGATATAAATACATCATCTGTCTCCTTTTCAGATACAGGGCAAATGTTTATTGAGTACTTCTGGCTTTCTGCATCATTGACAATTTTGCTGACACTGTTTAGTGACAGACTTAAACTGTTGCTAGGATTTTACATGTTCTTCCTAATCTGTAAAAAGTCCTTTTTTGCTGTCTATTGTATTTCCATTGAGGGGACATTCAGTCTTTCACAGTAACTGTGGTTTAACAGAAGGCCTTATTTGGTGGGTAAAGTTGTTGAACAAATGGGCTTATACTTTTCAAAATGTAATGAAATTTTCAAATCTGAAAAAAAAAGTCACAAAAACAGAAAGTAGGAGGAATTTTCTCCTTGATTGTCTTTGTTAATATTTTCACATACAGTTTTGAACCTTTTTGTTAGCCTAATTTAAGTGTGGAAGAGCAGTAGCATATTTTATTATAGCTTTTTTCTCCTCATAATTCAGGTGTTTCAGCTTTTTAGGTGGTTTTAGCTAGTATTGATTTCATTGCTTCATTAGCATTTTCCCTAAACCAGAATGAATAGTTATTTGCAGTTGTAATGAATTGTTTTTGATATTTTGGTAGGTAAGAGGAGGCTAATCAGGAGGATCCCAGAGGATACTGTGGCACTACTGCAGGCAGTGACAGAACCATCTCTTTGTCAAGATTTCAAAACTATCCTGGACTAACTCATTGAGGTTTATTTCATAATTTTCTCAGGTTTGAAAATAAATGCTGTGTCTTTAGGTGACTTCTCTGTAGTTTAGTTTGATAGAGTGGGCCAAAAGCAAGTTCACCCAGAAGTTTTATGTGTCTGTTTCTCAGGTACCCTATGATGACATAAAAAGAGCAGATAGTTTTGTTAATACCTTCCTGTTTGCGTTTTTTTGTTTGTGGGGTGTTTTTTTTGTAAATTCACAGGCTGTTTGAAGTAATTTATGTTCCATGATTCTTATCTTTGTGATGAAGGAATAATTAAACTATGTTTTGTACAAAACTATTAACTTTCTTGTTTCAATGAGTTGTCTTGAAGGGCTGTTTTTTTACTTCTCTGTGTTCCAGCCAATTTTGTAATAAATTGGCTGGTTAATTGCAATAACACATATTTGTTTCCAGGTCCTTTATTTTATAGTAATCTTTAATATGCTGGTTTATGTCACAAAAAGCAGTTACCTGCACAGGGCAAAATGCATTTCATGGCAAGATGTAGAGGCTAGAAATTTTATGCTTTGCAGATCACAAATAATATATGTCAAAATTTCACTGTCCAAGCTGATTGTTTGGTGTATGTTTTATTTATTTTGAATACTTAGTGATATTTTTAATACAGTGTTGTACAGAATGATGCTGGTGCATTTTATATACCTACAAAACAAAAGTTCTTGATTAGATAATATACCAAGTATATTGCTTTTCTGTTTGCATATCTTTGGCTCTCCAAAACCAAATTTTTCACAAGGACATATAGTGGTAGAAAAGGGAGAATGGCTTTAAACTGAGAGTTGGTTTGCATTCAATATAAGGAAGAAATTCTTTACTGTGATGGTGTTGAGTTGCTGAAAGAGGTTACCCAGAGAAGTCACGGTTGCCTCATCCCTGGCAAATCCCCACTACACAGGGACTGGTGGTTGTATTGCAGTATTGCAGTCTGTCCTTTAACATCATAACTCAGTTCAAAATGTACAGTCAGTCATACAGGTTTGGGTTTTTTCTGTCTGCAAAGTGGCACTCTTAAAATACATTTTTAAAAAGCCAAAAAGAGCAATTGTTCCTACTAGAGACGAAGAACAACACTCTTGCTCTCCAGCCAGCAGCTCAAACATTTAAATACCCCCATGCCCCTCAGTGGTCTGAGTGATAGTGGATGAGGGAGCACTATCAGGAACAACATTGCATAAGAGAGGCTTGGCAGTGCAGAAAGCTTTATTTCACGGGATCGTGTGGCAGGAAGAGACAGCAAGATGCACCAACATGAAGAAAGGAGGGAATGTAAACTTCACCAATGGCTTGGATTAGACCATCTTTCTCTGTGAGAATATAAACTTAGGATGTGGTCTCAGCTGAAGGTGTTATTTTATAAAAATGAAAACAGGGTAATGCTTGCAATTCTCCGAGCTGATGTTTAAGCCTTTCCCAACAATTACTGGCTGAGTCATCAGTTTTAAAGAGTAGCTGTTTGTAAACAGATACAACTACAGTGTAGAAATCACAAGAGAAGATTATTTCATTAAAAATGTCCTTCCCCCAAAAAGGCAAGGGAAAGTAAAGTGAAACTGGTATGTGTTTTCATAAGTGGAGAATTTGGAGATTTGAAGAAGAGCCGGCAGTCTGTACTGGAAACTTGAAGTTGCTGCTGTGGCTTATGTTAATTGGAAATAAAATACTATGGAATAGCTTAACCATGGCAGAGGCATACAGTTTTTTGCTCTAAAAATACATGTTTATAATGTTGGGGAGGTAGAAATTTTCCATAAAGCTATTCTGGCACAGAACTGTTCTAGAAGAAAGAGTGTGATCCATTGTGGTGGTAAAATATATTCTACTTAATTGGTAGCAAGGCAGTGCGTTAAACAGCAACTGCTGACAGGAAACGTTTGGGTAGAGTGAATAACTTGAATCTAGAAATATTAAATGAATTACCTTAGGAGCGTTCTGAATCTGTAATGTGGATTTTCAACAATCATTGTACAGCTGGGAAAATTTCAAAATCTTTGAGAGTTGCGGTGAGGGTTAAGGTCTCAGTATTTGAGAAGGTAAGTAGAGGGATTGAGAGCTAAACCACTGAAGGTAACTCCCTCGCTGCAGCATTGCAAACCACTCAGGAAGTTGAGCTTGCTGGAGGCTTTAAATGGAGTGGGGGAGAAATAGGGCTGAACATTGTTTTTAGTGTGTTTACAGAGCTGTAAGGAAGGAATTTGACAGAAGCCCCTCTAGGGGAGATCAGAGTATCTGGGATGCTTCCGTCAAGCAAGTCCTTCTCTCCACTATTGCCTTTTGGGAAGGAAATATGGACTGGGAATCTCAGGTTGAGGTAGGTGTCAAATTTCACAATGTAGGAAACTCCTCTCTGTTCCAGAAGGATTGTGCTTTTCTTTCTGCAGCTGTTTATTGTATTATGATAATTTGGATGTGTCCTCATTTATAGGGCTGTTCCAATGCTCCTTCTGAGGCTTTTTCCTTTAATAGGCAATTTATCTCCTTGCTTTAGGGCTGTGGATTCTGGCTAAGGCTGAACATCACCATAGCTGTGTTTGTGTCTTTTGCTGATTTACCCCCAAAGAACCCAGGTGGTTCTTGCAGCCTAGACAATTCTAGGAAAGTCTTGTCTGTTGGAACATTATGAATTCACAGCAGGGTATTAAAGCAATGAAGATTTGATGGAATATGGAGATAAAAGATTGGGAAAAGAGTGAGTGGAAGGTGTTTGCATACGCGTGCTCCCTCAAGTAACACTGTGGAGCTATTCAGGAGAAAAATGTACCTATAGGATATCATCTTATTGTTCATGAATAAGAAGGGGAACCTGTAGCACTAACTTTTTTGGAAAAGGCTACAGTTTTGGAATTTTGGTAGAGGTAACATCAGAAGTGCCCTGACAACAGAAAAGCAGTGTTCATGCAAGAGTTGCTCAACACATTTTTCTACATGCTTACTTGAGCTAAACAGTAACTTCAGCTTGTGTTTCCCAGCCATCATTTGTAGTTAGTGGAGCTGAAAATTGTCCTCCTCCAGAGTCCTGTCCTGGGTTGAACTGCATGTCTGGTGATCCATAAAGCCTTCCTTCTGCTGAATGGAAGGGACAGCTCAAAAGTCAAGTCTGGATACCGTGACAGTGACTCAAGATGGGTTTATAGATTTGAAAGTCTTTTAGATCTAGTTTAATTATTTTCTCAGCTTCTCTCTACATTAGTTGGATGTGTTTTTGTTTAAGAACAGAACTCTGACTACTTAAACCTGCTGCATATAGTTGCCTGTACGATTTTAATGAACATTTAGTGATGTGTAGTCAGAAACATGAATATAAAACATATGCTTTGGTTAGTTAAAAATTCTTATTTATGTATTTACAGCTTTATAACCTTCGTCCTTCCTCTTCCTTGACTCGGTTACTCAGCCTGAAGGCAATGTCATACTTTATTCTCACTTACTTTCTCCATATTTTTTCAGAGGCTGCGGATTCCTTAGGTATTGTGACTAGAGGAATCCTCATCTCCCAGCACTACAGAGTGGCAAGGATCTGCAGCCAAGTACAGGATATCCTGTTTTTCAGTAAACATTGATTTTGTTGTCATGTCCTGTAAGGTTGCAGCTCACTGAAAGGCTGCTATACATCTGCATTTTTGTTATGCTATTCAGCTATTGTGTTTAGTATGAGAAATAAAAGGGGGAAAAATGAGGATTTTTTTTTACAATATTTTCCACTACAATAAATTTTGGAATCTGCTAAGATATTTGTGCAGAATTAATTGCTCAAATTTACTTAACATTCTTTTATCTGCTGATACTTTATCTTTGCTCCTTGCAATGCTTGAGAATATGAAATAATCACAAAATGACTGCTGTTTAAGTGTGCATAGGGATTTACAAAAATTAGAGTGTATTGGTAAGGAGCAGTCCTTATTCTTAGAGGGGTCCCATTCTCCATCTCCTGGAGCAGCGGGGCAGGGCAGTGAATAAAGCTGTAGGTGCTTGTGTTCCAATTTATGTTGCTGATCCTTGGGAATAGACCAGTGTTTTAAAGGTGAAGAAAGACAGAAGCCAGCAACAATACTTAACAGGCTTTCTAAGTTCAAATTCTGGCTGGAGAGATACATGAAACTGTGAAATTGGTTGAAATTGGAGGAAACACAACAGCGCTGTGATTGCTGCAAGCATATGAACTATGTATCCCAGGTTGGTTGAATGATACTAAATGACAGCTAATAATGTGTAACAAAGGCTGTCTTATTTTTGCTTACAGACAGGTACAATGCATGTTTATTCTTTTGGATGAGAAAAGTTGCTGTTAGCCCCCTGACAGGAGGAGACTTCTGGTGGTACAAGGCTTGGCTCCTTGCTCCTGCGCTTTTGTTTGGCCAGGTGGAAGAGCGCTACCAGAGGTATACACACACAAGGAAGGGCAGCCAGCAGCACACAAATGGCCTGTACCCAACGTGGATAAACTTTCTCCTCTTTCATGGGGAAGCCTTCCTGTGGAGATAAAAAAGCAAGCGAAAGAAATAATTTGTAGGTACACTTAGATTTTGCTATGATTTCTATTTTTATTTTCTTACGCTGTTGTAGTAAGGATAGCAAGTTTTACCCTGTCTACAGTAGCAATCAGTGGCCATGTCCTCTGCAAACCCTTCTTGTGGGTCTGGAGTTATCTGTAAATGTTTTACACTTTCAAAGATGTATAGCTGGAATTGCAACACATTCCTAAGGATGCGGGGATTGCCCAAGGGTTATCAAATCTTCACCCTTTCTTGGTTAAACTATGTTCATTCCTGTTGTACTCAAAGCTTAACTGGTTTCAGCAATTACTGAGTATGTTCTTTGTCAAATAGGAAGTTGTATATCAGAGATTTTGAGGGAATGATGATAGAGCAATTCCTGCAAGTCTGTGGCTATGAGTTTTATTTGGGAAGATGGATACTTGATGGCATTTGGGGGAGACACTGCTGCTGTGTAATCCTCATATAGCTTAGGAACAGAATCAGTCTTCAAACCTCCACACAAGGATGTATTTGAGAGGGGTCAAAGAAGCTGCAGTTGATGTGAGACAGGGACATCCAGATGAAATGTTCTCAGTGTGGACATGTCTTTGTTGCTAAATTAACCAACACTGTACTCAGACCACTGCCTCCCTGTCTGCCTGTCTAAAATACACGCTCCTATATCCACCAGGGCCCCAGCGATACTGGTAGGTCTCACTGAGAAATGCCTTCATCCCTGACATCTGTTATGCAGCTCTAAAGCTCTGCTCAGGCATTTGTTCTACCTCTGAACCCCCTGTGGGTATGGAATGCCTGTGACATGTTCACTTCAACACTTCTGAGCATTACACACATCCATAAGAAATATGGAACATGGGATAAGCAGGACACCTCAAGAGGTGACAGGTTTTAGTATGTGTAACCTCTTTGCACACTTAAACCTCCTCATTCTGGGCACTACATGACTTCAAGCTATTTTCAATGGGTAAGCAGTAGAAAACAATAATATTAAAGGATCTTGTAAAGGAGGAAAATAGATAATTCTTCCTTTAAGTGCTGAAAATATTTGAGCACGTACATATTTAGGGTTCCAGGCTGTGTAGCTTGGTGACTTCTGCATCTGAAGAGTAACAAAGGCCATGAAGACAATTAGCAGGAGCAGAGGGCTAATAAACCTCCATGTGATCTGCCAGAAGAGACTGAGTTTTCTTCCGGTCATCCATTCCACATCTTCACTGAACCTTGTAAAAGAGGGCATGTTTATGATGATGTCAGAGCTAGAGTGGTAACAGTTTCCCTGTTTTATAGCTTCCTGTAAGTTGGAAACACAGAGCACAGCACTGTAAATCTTTTCTATTCCACACCATTCTTTAATAACACACTGCTTGCTTGAGTAAATAATAATATCATCCAAGTAGGTCTTTACTGAGCCATACCAGAGATGGATGACCAATTTACATTGTCAGTTAATTACCTGAGCACCTAGTGTAAGGTTTCTAAGCTTAAATAAATGATGATAATATTGCAGCAGTTCTGTAAACTATTCAGATATTTAACATAAAAAGACAAAATTGCCAAGGGAACAAACAGCATGCTAGGAAAATGTCTCGGTTACCAGCACCAAATCAAATCGTGTCAGGGTCAAGGTTACTGCAGCCTGAGCTACATTTATTTCTTAGAAGAAAAAATTACGTCTCTTTCCAACATACCTTTTAATTTTATAGATGTACACAACTCCAATCACTTCAAAAAAAGCGATGACTAAAAGAGGCACTGAAGCTGCATATCTGTCAAAAATGTCAATCCAGTAACTCCCTGAACCCAGTGTAAAACACAGAGCAATGAGGAAGCTAATTAGACATATTATGCCTGAAGAAAAAAAGATATCTTTGTTACTGGAGTACTGAACTTGGTAGGTTTATTTTTGTTCTTAATTGCTTTGTTCTTTTTCTAATAATTTTTATTCTCTCCCTCTCTGTGGAGTTACAACAAGCTCTTTTCTCCTTAGGGGAGCTAATATCACTTCCCAAACTCAATTTTCCTCTGTGTGTTGGCCAAGGGCACCACTGTTGAAGGAGGAATGCATTCTGTGACTCAGAGCATCCTTCAGTTGTTCATATTTCCTTCCATCAGACAGCCTGGGCTGTGCTGTGAGCCAGTGTTAATTTTTGACTGCTGTGGTGAGTTTCAGGTGCCACCTTGGAAGTGTAAGGACTCCCTGGATTTATGTCCCCTTTTCCTCAAAGAGCCCAGAGCTACAAATGTGTGTGTCCCTTATGTTCCAGCATGTGTCATTTGTGTTTCAGCACACTTCTGTACAGCCAGTTCCCCTTTAGTCAAGATTTAGATTTGAGGTAATTGAGAGAAAAAGTGAGAAGGAAAGGAGGGAATAAAGGTATTGCTGGGCATAGACATTGGCTGCAACTCTGTACCTCTTTCTAATGTGTTGCTAATTGCTTCTAACTCTGAGATGGCCTTTGGTTCAATTCTGTAAAATGTTGGCTCCAGACTTTTTAAAAATGTTTTAAAGTTCACAATTGGAAAATCAGTTTTACAATAATATTTTTAACTCATCAAGTTGGGAATGAATTTGTTTTTACATGAAAAATTTTAAAATTAGGGATACAATTTAGATACCATAGGAAGACTCTACAAAAGGCATAGCAGCAATATTTCCCATAAGAATTTAAAAGGGCACATTGCAGTAATATTAGTCTATTAGTTGCAATTGTCATAGATTTTTCTGGACCAATTTCATAGCAGGATCTCTCAGACTCATTGAGTCTGGTTCTTAAGGAGCAGGTTTTGTTCAATAACTATGGCTGGTTGAAAAGATTCCAATTTTGATGCCAGAACAGGATCACACACCTTCATTCCTCATTTTTCAAGTGGTAATTTTCTACTCTGACATGTTCACAGTAAATGTGAATCTGTAGCAGCATAAACCTGGGTGAAATAGGTGTGAATGACCTCTCTTACAGTGGTAAGTTCAAGTGCAGGTGGTTATGGCAAACTAGCTGATGTCACTGGGTGCCTTAAAGTGATTTGTATCAGTGCCAAAGGCTTAAGGGAGAAGGCAAGGCTCTTCCTGATGACAGTAACAGCTCAGAGTGGACTGGACTCCAGGAATAGCAATTTTACAAGCTTTCTCAGACTGGAACAGCTTAATTTGCAAACTAATTAAAAACCGGCCAAGGCACTATAATATTGTCACCTGACAGCTTCTGCCATAACTGCCACCTCATCTTTCTGCTTATCTTCTGCAAACACAATCCACTGCCCTTACTTACATTGTGACATTCAGCTAAATTAATGCTAAAAATTATTAATTCCTCTGTGATATTAATTAAGCAGTTAATAGTTTGTGCATCTGTAAGAAGTCACCTTCTTTGAACAAAGCAAATACCTTACCAGATAATAGCTCTTTAGGTGCTGATTTAGGTAGAATTTGAAGCTCTAGAAGAGGAGTGAAGACACCCTCAATGTTTCCAAACATGGAAGAAAGGCCCAAGCTGAACAACATGATGAAAAACAGGATGGCCCAGGCTTGGGAGCCTGGCATGAGGATGATAGCTTGAGTGAAAACAATGAAAGCCAAGCCAGTTCCTGAGACGCTCTGCAGCATTCACAAACAGATACAAATACACGTTACAATGTCATTTCTCATGCATAAAGTAATTGTAACACAGTGCTGTCCTTTTCTGGAGTCAAGGTTGCTGGTCACCCTGTGCCCTCTGTGGCAGCCAGCAGTTGAGAAAATGGGCAGTAGGGAGTTTAATTTTAAGTATTCTAAGGATATCTAGGCAATCACAGAGCAGAATTTTAGCTTACACAGAGAGATGGGTTCAGAGTAAAGTAAACTGGAGAGCTGTAATTGTAATAGAAATTGTTTTGCTAATACCATCCTAAATGTGCTTTTAAAAAATCTATGATGTAGTAGCTTCTGGAAAAAAAGAGGTGTAAATAAGAATATGATTATCTCTCTTAACACCAAGAGAATTTGTGAATCATTGGTCACAAAATCCCCTATACTGACCAAGGCAGAAAAGACTAATAGGGAAAAAGCCAATTTCAACCAAATTTCTTTTGGTGTAGTCTCCCAAGGACAAGGATATTGAAATCTAAACATTGTAAAATGCTAATGTTGCTTAATTTGGAAGTAAAATATTTCAAAATGTAAATCAGAAATGGATGCCATCAGAAGAAGTGAGACAAAAGAAGCTGACTTGTACCAGGGCTGGAATGTTGTCCTGGAATTTCTCCATCATGTGAGTAAAATAGCCTACTTTAGCATTACTGTATGTTAGGCCTGTTGTGCATTAGCGCACACTGACTGTGCCAAACAGCATCCCTGGAGCAAGTGCCATGAGGTAGGACAAGAAAACAGACAAGAAACATCTGTGTGTAGTGGTCGGGGAAATGTTACAGGAAGTTTGGAAAATAAGGAGAGGCTCATGATGTACTTTGGTGGTGAACAGTGTACATTGTAATGGATTTTTTGATACTTTCCTAAATACAGATCTAGGAAATTCCCATTCAGCATCCTTTTTCTATAATCTTTTGTCTAGATGTGTTCCCCCATTATGCTTATTTCTGCAAACTGAACAAGGACTGAATCTACTGTCCATGGTAGGCTTCTGGTAGGAGCACACTGGAAGATCAGTTTTGTGGTAATAATGTGTAGTTTTGTTTTCCATAACAGACAGGCATACATTCAGACTATCCTACAGCAGTATTGTTATTTCAAATGTTGAAAGATTGATTTGTTGCATGATTATGTGTAATATATCATTGCAGGTAGAACAGAGTACATGTACTTATAAGAAAAAGGAAGATACCAATCCTGCTACATAACTTTGTTTAAGGATTACCTGTTGTAAGCAGTTATGGTACCTGATCAAGAAATTCTTGAAGATCACAGCTTTTCAGTTTGAGTCCAGCAATTTTTCCTGGATATGATGAATTCAAAAAACTAATCCAGGATGTATAGTTCTGTCGCATGATGCTTTCTTCTGGAAGATCAAATTCATTGATGATATTGATAATGTTCCTGCCAGAGAAGCCAACATATTTAAACTTTAGTTTAAAAGTTTGCAGATGATGTGGCTGGAAATGCTATGCTGTCTATTCAGATGCTACTCCAAAGTCGTGTTTACTTTCTGTGCTGCTATTTACAATATAAAGGAAAATATTAATTGACAGCTTATATATAAAATAGTAGAAAATACTCAGACTATTTAACATTGTCTCAGACAGAAACTCTGAGTATTTTATGCAGATTCAGTCTCTAAAAGATTTTTATCAGGTCTCCAGACCATTTCTACTACTTGTGTTTAATAAGTTAATGAAATAAATTTCTAGTGAAATAGAAAAAGGAGGGGATTTTTACTACTTCTAATGCTATCCTGAGAGTAAGGTGCAAACCTTGATGCAGTACTTGAAATGGGTTGTTTTGCAATTTGTCTTTATTCTTACAAATTATCATCCTTGACTCAGTCCCATAGTACTTTATATTTTTACATTAAACTTCTCCATACAGATGTTCTTCTTTTCTAATGAAAATAAATTTTCTAAATACGTGTCTTTCAAATAACACATTATCACATTATATATTTAGGCACTGAAACCACAGTACAACTTTGGGAACACAGCTTTCTCACCTGTCCAAGCAGTCCCAGTAGGCTGTGGTTGCTTTAAACCCCAAAACAGAAAAGACTGGGATGGAAGCATAGAGGGATGTCATGCTGTTCACAATTGCTACTGTCACAGCATCCTTTTCACAGTCATTTCTAGAGATAGCATTCAAATAAGTTAAATGATTAGGCAGGTTTTCTTATCTGTGATGCAGTTATTTCTGCAAACTTTTTTTTAAAATTTCTTCTCTCCCTCCCTCCCCTTCCCCCTTCTGTTAGAAATTCTAGTGGAGAAAAAAAAATCTAGATTAGAAAGAAAATCTTTCTAATCTAGTTAGAAAATCTGTCTTATAGAATGACAGATACTTCTAAAGATCCATTAGAAAAATTAAGAAAAATATTTTTAAAATTTAAGAAATTGCACAAAATGCAGCAAGAATTCAGCCAGATAATAAAGGTGTGGTTCTACTCACTTTGCTGGATTGTAGCTCGCAAATGCAATAAGCCCTCCAAAAGCCAAAGAGAGAGAGAAGAAAATCTGTGTAGCTGCATCAAGCCACACACTGGGATTTTTCAAAGTGTTCAGCTGAAATAATTGGAAGAAATGCATGTATTAGGCTTAAATTGAAATTTCTTTTTCTCTTGCAGTTCTCATAGTTTACCTGTTCTTTCAATTCCGGAATTTTGAGCTGTGTTGCCATCTAAATACTATGAAAATGGGAATAGGTACTAAACAGGTCAGTAAAACAAGTGTTTTCAAGAGTATCATGGAGGCTATTTAAATGTGTGCAAGAATTGTAGAATCTTTTTTATTGTGCACTTTGTCTATCTGATGATAATGTGGTTCTAAGTGATAAACACTAGGAACACAATAGAGAAAATACATTTTTCCTCAATTAGTCTCTTTTTTTTTTTAATTCACGTACTTAAACTGCAGTTAAAGAATATTGTCTTCCTAAAACTCTATATACAAATACTAAACCTTCACTGTTTTAAGACAAAGTGATTCTGTAGCATCCCACATTTGCTTAAAAACTAATTTAATAGAAGTGACTAAAAGCACAAGCAGGCAAGAAGAGAACAGTTATTAAGAGTAGCATCTGCTGTTCAAAGTGCTGTGAAAACAGCAATAAAGATAGAAGGTCAGCATAGGTAATACAAGAAAAAAGGAGAAACCGACGATGAAATTTGTATTTTTTTGTAAGGGCAGTATGATACAGGAAGGTAAATGGAAAAGCAATGATTGGTGGATTACAGAGAACATTAAGCAGTTTTAAATAGCTTCACTAAGGAGTTTTGATGTTGAAATCGTTATAAAAGAAAGAGGTAGAACATGAGTAATGCACAAAATGTAAATGTGATCCAGGAATATTACTTTCTTGCAGAAACTACAAAGTGGTGTGTTATACCCTACTATGTGAATTGCTTTCTGATCCTTGATCATTATCAAGGACAGGGAATAGAAGAATGTTTTGCTGAGAATGTTTTAAAAGCCAGATAGCTCAAAAGTAATGCTGGGGCTGTAGACTATTTCACTTTGTTTTACAACAGTCTGAGTTAAATCTTCATCCCAGTAATGCAGGACAACTTGTGTGTTTTGTGTCTGTGTGCCTGTGCTTGTGATCCGAGCCCATGACTGGGAACATATGTAGGAGTGAGAGGTAAGTATGCCAAAAGACCCTTCCATAGCATTTTGGATTTCTCTGAAGCTGGCCTGAGCTTGAGGAGCAAGAACAATGGGTCCACCTTGGTGTGGATGGATCCAGGCAATGCCATTACTGCAGGTGCTCTCTCCTCAGGGAGCCCAGTGCTTTGACCACAGTAGAACTGTGTCACCTCTTGTACAACACAACACAGCCAGCAGATTCATGGAACCATTGCTGGCTGAAGTGATTCAGCAAAGGCAAACCCTTCTGGAGGTTTATTTTGAAAGACCACAGTCAAGCCCTCAAAGGCCAGAGTGCTCACTGCAGTGCAGAAACTTGGCACTCACGTGGCTCTGTGGCCTTCACACTTTGATTAAGTGCTGCCAAGTCAGTTGATGCTGACAAATGCGACTCCTAAAAGTCTGACTTTCTCACTGGGAACTTCGGCAAATGAGTCTGGAGGTAGTTTAGACTGGTACTAGGTGCAGTGCATTTATTGACTCCAAAAGATACTGATCAACCCCAAACTTGAAAAGATAATGGGCAGGCATGCGTGCCATGGCAATGTCATTATCTGGTCTTCAGCAAATTGTTGAAAGTTTTATTTTATATTTATATGGCATACAGGTTTTATAAGCATATGTTCAGAAGAAAAAAATGTGCTGATGCCAGAAACGTGGATGAAGATGTACGATAAGTGTTAATGAATAGTCCCCTGTTCATTCCCTGTAAGGAGGAAAGTAAATATAATTGCTCTCTCAAGAGTGGTAACATGTTTGGATTTTTGAATATATGAAGCACAGACAGAAACAGAATTAAAAATTACTGGGGTCCTTGTGATGTGTAATTTTGTGTAATTTTGTTGTAGAAACAGCTATTGGTTTTGTGAATAGCGGATTTGGGGGCCTTTGGGGGCCTGTGCTGCCTTTTTTTTTTTTTCTTTTTCTTTTTTTTTTTCTTTTTTTCTTTTTTTCTTTTTTTTTTTTTTTTTTTCTTTTTTTTGTAAAATAGCTGCTGAGTTCTAGGCACAGGCAATAGTTGCCCAACCAAGTTCTTGGAATTGTTCATTGCCAGAGAACCTCCAAATATTTACAATCTCTGAAGTTCTTTCAAATGTGAAAGAGACTGGAGAAGGAGACATTTGTATTCCTTAGGTGACACGGGTGTCCCCTGAAGCCGAACCATGCAGACTCTTGCTGATGCATGATGGAATCTTGTTTCATTGTTTCTGCTGCCTCTGGTTATTTATTTTGCAAAATCCTTTTCAAAAGTCTGTTCCAGCTCCTATGTGGCTTCATTGTTGTACATTTTCTGCTTTCCCCTCAGGTGTCACTTCAGGATACTTTTTTGTTTTCTTGGCAGCTTCATTTTCCAAGTAACCAAGAATTTTGAGAAGGTGAGTGAATCATCAGACTTCTCTATGTCTGAAAGTGAATGAAAAGAAGTATTCATTATTTATTCTGAAATTTAAGGTGCAAAGTGTGTCAGATGACAAAAGCTGATTATGAATTTTTGCATGAAAATAAAAACACAGCCTCACATAATTAAAATCCATATGCATGCTTTTATTATTTGTGGTACTTATTAACAAGAGCTAAAATACAAACTTGGAAAGTGAATAAACTTTAAAAAATTGTGGTTTAGAAAATAAATTAAGTTCAGTTATGTGGTTTTGATGTTGAAACTGGGTAAGATGGGACTTTTTGTGCTAGGTGTTACTTTCACAGGCTTTCACAAACAACAGTGAGGTGTCACAGTTATGAGATAATGGATGTAGCAGCTGTTACAGAGAAACTACAATTTCTGCTGCTCTGCAGAGTTGGAAAGAAGTTGGAAAATATTGCCTGCAATCAGGGAAGAATGTCAAGAAGGTTAGTTTTATGTATTTTAAAAGCAAGCTGAAACAGACAGTAGGTGATTTACTTCTTTAATTTGCTAAAACTTTTTCTGCAAAACGATGGGAAAAGAGGAAGAAAAAAGCACACATTTGAGAAATATGCTTTACAGTTTTGTAAACTGATGGGGTCTGGGTGGGCCAAGTAAATCTCTGCCTAACAGCCCTCCTGTACAACTCACTTTGAGGCATCCCCTGTGGAGAAGTGTAAAAGAAAAACCAGTGTTTGCTCATGGAGAGGGTGAGAATAGCCTAGCAGCAAAGGCAGTACTGGTACTGCAGTTGTGGGGTAAGGGGATGAAGAGAGAAGGGCAGTGTTGAAGCTGTGTGCTTACTGTGCTTTTGAAGACCTCAAAGTGCCACAACCCTGTGTAGTAATTGGAAGGTTGGTTTAACAAAGCCATCTGTCTTACACTAACTTTCTGTGCAATGGCAACACCGATAGCAGGTATCACTTACCAGCCTGTTCCACCAGCTTTTCCATATTTGTAGGTAAACACATCACTAAAACCATCTTCAGATGATTTTTCAAGGATGTCCCCAGGATCTGCTTCCTCAAACCAGCAAACCATCCAGGCTCTCTGCAGGTGAATTTTCATTCTGACTTCTGTTGCCAGTGTACAAATCCATCCGGCTCTTTTATGATGATCTGCTCCTCCTCAGCACTGCAATACCTCCAGGCTTTGTGAGCACACACAAATCTAGTTTCCTGCATTCAGTTCAGGATCATTGCAAACTAAATTCCAAAAATGCCTGAGCTGTTCCAGAGAAACCTGACAGCCTAGCTGAGACCAACTGATGACAGGCTGAGGCGTGTTTTGTTTGTGTTGTCAAAGCTGCTTTCTTCCCTAAGACATTGCACCAACCTCTTATAATCCTGTCTGGCCCTTCAAAAATGTAAGTGAATATCCTAATCTGTAAAAACCAAGCTTGTCCTTGAGCTCTGGCGGCATTTAGATGGGTGTCTGTGCCACTGGGCTTGTAGAAAGAGGGATAAAACAGTCTCATCTGAGCTTTCTCTTGCTCTTGTCCCTTTCCAGCCTGGCATGTAAAGTATCTCTGAACTTCTTGGCTTATGTTTTCTCTAATATCTGTGTTCTTGTTGTAGGAAAGGAAAGGAAAAATCCAGTGCTCCAGTGTTTGAAGCACTTCTGTGGCTGTGGAGGCAGCAGACGCTCGAGAAGGTGTCTGTGAGTGCTGCTGTTCCTACTCTACACCCACCACTTCAGGGAGCTTTTTAGCCATGAAGGCAGAGTTGTGAGGAGCCTCTAGTGGGTAGCAACCACTTAGTGGGACAGTTTGACTTTGCATTTGGGAATGCTGCCAAGGACAGTGTAGGAAAGGTGCTTCTGAAATGGGCAGCATGTGGAGGGATCTGGAACTCCTGTCCATATGAGAAGTTAAGAAAAATGGGAGAGGGGCTGTTCTCCAGCAATTCTGTCTTTTAGGAAGAGATATGGGGGAAGGGAGAAATACTGTGAAGAAGCAGGGGCAGGGGAAAATTACTTTAAACCTTCCAAAAAACCATCACTTTACAGTGTAAATTCTCAGTTGTTGTCTTTGTGAATTCTTAAAAGATTAAAGCTGTGTAAATTCTGTAGCAGTGGCAGGGAAACTCCATCTTTCTCATGCACTTGTGAAGTACATCAGTTTCACTTACACAGTAAAGACTGAGGCACCCATTACATTCTTAAACTTAATTTCCAGTATTTTCTGATAGGCTTACTACTGAACTGTTAAATTCTTTGCTGCTTATTTTCTTGTGAAAATATATTAAAATAATTAAGTCACTTCATCTCAGAAAAAGAGCTTAGCTGAGCTCTTGGATAGACATCTAAACCAGGAGTTGTTGGAAAATGGTATGAAATCTGAGGAGGAGTAAAAGGAAAATTAATAATAATACTTACATTAGGGGTGAAGAGGTAAATCAGACCTTCGGTGGCTCCTGGTAGAGTGAGTCCTTGAATAAGGAATATAGTCAGGACCAGATATGGAAATATTGCTGTGACATAAATTGCCTAAAGTAAGGAGGTCAGAAGACAGAGAGTTACTGGCAGTAAATTCAGTCAATTCTATTTAAATTATTGCAACATTTAATAATAATAATATTAGATCAGACAGCTACAGATGAATACAGCCATCTTTCAAATAAGCAGGGTGTACTTTTGTAGAATATATTTGTAACAAAATGGCTCTTAAAACTGTGTGCGGGAAGGCTGGTAGGGCAGAAGTGTTTGCAATGGAAAAAGAGAGAAGCATCATTTTAAGCCAGTTGTACTGCTGTTCTCAATTTGTTGGACAGGGAGCATACTGAATGGTGCCAGTGTGGTAAATGGGGTAAATGGGATTTTCCTTGTGGTAAAAACTGAGTGTCTGGAGGGCAGGATTTCAAACTGCAGCATAATCACTTCTCTACCCTTTCCATACCTTCCCTGTGGTTTCAATTCCTCGGATGGTGCAGAGATAGACAATTGCCCAGCAAGCTGCTAAGCACAAAATGAGCCACCACTGGAACGTGCCACTCTCAGCAATATCAGGTGTTATGTTCAAAGTTTTCCTGTACCAGAAATAATTTACTGCAGTGCTTTCATAACATTCTTCATTAAACCCTGAAAAAAAAAAAGTGGCTAGTGTCAGAATAAATTGTGGGCTGCAAAATCTGATACAGAGATGGACTTTCTGCACTTCTGTAATGTGCAGCAAGACAAACTCTCACAGCAGGCTGAGACTGACACTTATGTGAGACCCTTACCAGAACACCACCAGCATTTCACACAGGGGATAGCTTCCTGATTAGAAGCAATTTTGTACTCAGTGCAAGGTCAAATCTAAACTAATTGTAGTGAAAACAATGAATTTTTCTAGCTGTATAGCTACAAACTGGTGGAGCCAAAACAAACTTCAGGCACCTGAGAACACATCTAAGTCCAGGCTCCCCTGGCTGTCATGGCCCTGTGGTGGGGAAAGACCCAGGCATTGACCTCTTTGGTTTGAGTTTCCAGGCCTTCTGTGACCAGGAACTTCAGGCATCTGCATGCAGGGGAGTGGACATTCCCCAGCCAGGCTCTGTGCCTGAAGAAAAGGGAACTGGCAGCGTGGTGTATACCACAACCTTTGATGTCTATTTGTCTTCCTACTCTAGAACAGCCCTAAGGCCTCAAAAAAAAAGTTTAATTCCACTATGTTTTGTCTTTTTTCTTAGCCTTTTACTCAGGTGGTATTTTTTGCCGTGCCCTGGAACTTCTCTCTCATGCTCTGAGAAAAAACAGAAGCTGAAAAATAGTTTTAAAAACCTAAGAGCATTCTTCCTTGTCCTGCTTATGTACACTATCTGTCTTAATCTTAGTAAAGATTTTTGTAATGGATAACAGGACTTGTTCTTTATTTTGTTTCCCATTTTAAAGTCAAGCAAAAGGACTCATGGACTTTCTGGCTTTTCCTGTGAGGATGTTGAATTTGAGCAAGCCAGCATGACTCTTGTACCTTTTTAATAGCAATTCAAACCAGGACTTGTTCACAATTCAGGGCAAAATAAAGTGTGGTTTCTTGATTAGCCCAGAGTCTGATGTTTTTCTAGCAGTGCTCATGGAGGTGTACTTACCTGTTCTGTTTTCATTTAGAGGACAAACACTCCAAGGAAGAGGTTCTTGGAAGGAGTTTATGAAATACCACATCACCCAAGTTAAAACAGTGTTGTAGAATAAGCTCACCAGAATCGACACCATCCATGAACCAACTCCTACAGAAAGCACAAGATCTCACTTCAGAAAAGTTTTGGAAAAAGTTATCAGTCAGTCACTGCACTAGCTGTTTGAAGCTCTCATTTCCTAGTTTTTCAAGATTTTCTTCTCCATCCCCCTGACCTCATCCTGAGATTTTCCAATGAAAGATGGACATTGTGTGTCCTCAGTAGCCAAACACTGGTGCACAATCCCCCAGATCACCAGCCCTGCTCCAGGAATTCTGAGACTCTCTACTTACATAGAAGGTTAGGGTTGAAATCTTTGCTCTAGTATGTAGTCCATTGTTTTCTACAATACTGGACAACTGTAATTGCAGAGAACAAAAGAGACCAAAGTTCTATAGTGTCCTGTAGCTGCATGAGACTCTTGTCCCAAATCATGCACAGGTGCCCTAAATTGGGCACTTTTTTACTCCTGTGATGAGGAGGGGAGAATATCAACACCACTGTTTCTGCTTGCTTGCATTTTTGCAAGGGAGTATGAACATGACTGGTTGTAGGAGATGGGTTTAGCTGGAAGCACCACCTGCAGCTTGGTATTTCTTTCTTGTTGCCCTCTGGCCTTTAGATGACTCCTCTTATGCTCCCCTTTTCCTCCCACACAGCCCCACAGGCAGGGCCATCAGTGCCAAGCCCATTTCAGGCATCTGCTTAAAGCAGGTCATGATCCAGCAGAGCTGGCTGAAGCATGCAGGAGTTTCCCCTTGCCCTGCAGGCGCAAGAGTGTTATCTCAATTACCCAGGAGAGTCAATGCCTTAACCTCCTTCTGGTGGCCATTCTGGATCACTTTTTGCAGCCTAACAGTGGTGGACACAGGGCACCAGATGTGTTTTTTCAGATATTAAATAAGTAGAAAAGAGCTGGCAGTAGAGGACTGCGCACCAGTCTGATGCGCTATGCTGTGTGGATTGTCCCTCATGCCCAGCTGTGTTGATAAAGTTCTTTCAGCAACCCCACCCTCTTGTGGAGGGAAGCCTTCCCATGTGCTTTGGACTCATTAGGAGGTACCAGGATCCTTGATTTCCCATCTTTCTGTCCTTCCTCAAGTCTTCTATTTATGGACAGAGAAGACTGGGTCCTTGAGGGACTGTGAGGGAGCAGCAAGAAGCACTGTGGGCAGGCAGCTCTTGTTGAGCACCAGGGTATGGTTGGAATGGGGCAGTGTTGAGGAGCAGGGCCCATTTCATTATGCCCCCCCAAGAAAAGGTTTTTAGGTTTGCATTTGAGGCTCTTCAAATGATCCTGAAATGTGCCTGGAGTAATGTCTGGTGAGAGCAATACACAATTACAGAATCACAGAAGGGTTTGGGTTGGAAGGGACATTAAAGATTATTTAGTGCCACCCCCATGCCATGGATGGGGACATTTCAACTAGACCAGGTTGCTCAGAACCCCATCCAACATGACCGTGAATGTTTCTAGAGAAACCATCCCTAAATATCTCACCACCCTCATTACAAAATATTCCTTTTTAATCCTAACACTCATTTCTTTTTCTATCCTAAAACACATCAGGCACAGGTCTGTGGGAAGTGAGTGCTGGGTGGGAGCTGTCTGCAGTTCCTTGAGCTGGGACTGAAGGGACGTACCAATGCCTCCAAGGTAAGGAGAGATGGTGTTCCAGGCTCCAATGCTGCCTTTCCTCAGGCTCTGCCCAAGGGCCAGCTCGAGGTGTAGCAGTGGGATTCCTTCAAAGACAAGAGCGATGAAGTATGGGATCAGGAAAGCCCCTGAAAAGACATTTAAGTGTGATTAAGCCACATGATTTTTCTGCATCTCACTGAAATTACTGGTTTATAATTAATCTGCTTTATCAGCCTAACAAAGTCCTTGTAGGATGTGTTGAGAGAGGGATCATTGCTAGGGACACCTACAAGTAACATCTGTTGCTGGTAACTTTGGTAGTGAAGATGGAGGAGGAGGGACTGGGATGCTTAGTGCTGCAGGACACTTCCCTCAGGCATTGCTGCAGCCCATTATAGGTAATCTCACTATTTCATCCATTTCCCTTTCTTTTAAGCATCTTTTGTCCTCCTCATAAAGCACAGGGGTTTGCCTGTCCCCTGTTCCATCTGTTTTTCCTTCAGTGCATTACCTTGTTTCATTTCTAAGGGTTCTCAGGCCTGTGCTCCTCCATCCTGCTCTGGAAAAGCAGGATTATGTGCTGTATACCCCCCAGAGACCATGGTATTTTATTGCATGAAGCTCTGCTCAGACATCAGAGCCTCCAGCTCATGAAAAACTGGAAGCAAGGCTGAAGTTGTTGTCTGAGACATGTGAGCCATGAAACATCATTTCTTCCCAGTTTGTGTCCTTTACATTTGTCTGTTTTCCTCCAAACATCTCCCTTGGGCCAGAAGCAGCGTGTCCTGTTGGTTGCCTGTGGGCAGGGACCAGTCCTACCAACAGCCTGGCTGATTCCTGCTAGACTGTGTGCAATGCCTCTCTTCCCCCACCTTCCCCCACAAAGAACACACATTTGGGTCTCCCTTCTTTTGCACAGATGCTGTTTTCATGAGACAAGAAGTTTCTTCAGTGTGTTTGTACCACCTGCCCAAATGTCCAGTTAAATTTAAATGGTGGAATAGATTGAAGTTTATTGCCATGACCAACAGCCACTGTGACCACAAAGTCTCTTTTCTCCAGGGAGACAAAGACAGAAATTCTGCCTCAGCCACCTCCCCATCCTCCTACAAATGTGAACAGATTCTCTGTTCCTCACAGCTTTGTCAATAAACCTGTGCCTTGTTCTATAATTTCTGATTTGCCTCCAGACCTCATATCTAGGTCTGCTCAGCTCTGCCCTTCCAGCTCAGGAAACTTTCTTTATGCTCTGTCTTCGGCCCTGAGAGAGAGGTGGGGGAATGCACAAGGATTTCTGGTCTCCACCTGGAATGGCGCCTGGGTTCTGCAATCAGTGGCTATTTAGAAAGGCTGGGCAGATAAAATCTAATCTCTTGAGTTAGTGTTGTATTGCAATAACTTTGCTACCTCTTGTTACATGCTGCAATAAATCCCTACAGCACCCAGAGAAGGTGTGTTGTTGGATGGTTTAGCCTTTTATCAAGTTATGCGTAGAAACAAAAATCACAAAGCTCTTCTCAGCAAAGAACTGTTCATAAACTGCCAAACTTGGAAATAAATGTCTCACCTTAAGGTCTCTATTCTTGAAATGCTTTTAACTGGGAAGCAAATTTGAAAAACGAATCTCACAGTTAATTCCCAGTATGTTGAATCCTCAGTTTGAGGTCCCTTCAAGAAGAACCCAGTAACCTCTTGCCATACTTGGTCCTGTGGTCTGTTTCAAACCTGCTGCAGTATCCCTATCCACAGCACATCTGAGGATGCCTGCCCAGCCCTTCTGGCAGTCTCATGCCTTGGACTGTCTCCTGAGAAGAGCAAACTATTGAGGCAAGTGACCAGAGCAGTGCAGTATGGAGTGCTCTACTTCTTCATCCATCTGCCTGGTTCTCCACCAGCTCTGGGAGCAGCTGCAATCCATGCTGCAATCCCTGCTGAGCCCTCGCTAGCAGAGCACTCCATAAGAGACCAGCCTATCTCCCATATCATATCTCCTGGGAAATAACTGGGTAATAATTAGTGCAAATTGTTATCTCTCTCCCCTTTTCTGTTTGCTAGTTGAACCACTGGCAGCAGAGCGTGTTTAGACATTCTGCTGATAAAAGCATGTTTACTTTGTGCTGGCTTGTGTGTGTCTTCAGGCATATTTACAGAATGGCAAAACATCATGTCACATTTGGAAAAAAATACTGGTTTTCCATGAGAATTTTATGAAATAATCTGCTATCTGCAAATATGAAAATATGGCAAAGGAATGGTTTAAAAATAAATAGTTTATGAATCTAATCTTTCTCAAACCTAATTCAAGTAAATGGCTTCTAGTGTAAAGTAAGTTTTTAGTTATTCATTCCTTTGCATTACAATATTTTTAGTCAAAAAGAAAAGAGAAAAAGAACAGTCTGCTGAAGCACTTGAAGCTTACTCTTCCACAATAAAATCCCCCACCTATAGAAAAACATGGAGAAACATTAAGAGTAAGCTATCAGATACAGAATAGTAAGAACCCTCAAGCAATCTATAGTTGAGGGCTCTGATTAATAGATAGAGGACGATGTGCCAGAAGGTAAAAAATAACTACCCATTTTAAAAAATGCCACAAGAAATCTCATCATGAAGAAAGCAAGCAGAAAATCCAAGAAGCAGAGAACCTAAGACACAGCAGGTACCACAAACCAGAGCATTCAAACATAAGCACAGCAAAACCTCAGCAGAACCCATGTGATGTTAAGCCCAAGCACAGCAGAACTCTGTAGATTTCCATGTAGGCTTCCATGGAGGATGGGAAAAGGAAACTATAGCAGAAAAAATCATAAAGCACAAGCAACAAATTATCTTGTATCTGTACATTGTACCTACAAAAAAAAAAAAAGAGTTTAGGTTTTTTTTTTCTTCTGGAAAAGTGACAAAAGAAAATTATATAGCGGTGAAGCATTTTTAAATACTTTAAAAGCCTGGAGAAATGCCCATAAAAATAAAAAGTATTGCCAAAGCATGATTTAGTTGCATCCCTGGGGTGTGACTTAGGAAAATTTTAGTTTACAACATTCCTTCTGTCAGAAAGACCCTGAAGATTCATAAAGCATCGATCCTGCAAGTAGAAACACGTGGTGCTAAAGGAAGGTCAAGGGAAAAAAACCCCAAAACTCTTCAAAACTTGCAAGAGTCAAAAGTTATTTTGGAAGGAATCCTGCACAAGGATATCACAAAGCCATAGAACAATCCCCTGCACATGAGAAGGCACAGAAGGCTACAAAAGCTTTTTCAAATCAGGCTATCAAAAACTGCAACTACTGCACTACTGGTAAGCTGGGGTCATTTACAAGAGAGTCCCAAGTGTTGGGGTGCACCAGTGTGTAACAAGATTGCTGAAGGACCATTGGGGTGGGGACAGCTCCACAGCCACAGCAGTAGGAAAGGAAGGAGCAGGTACACTCAGATCCACAGAGGGTTTTAAAACCTGACCCCTCGATTGCAGTGCACAGGCAAGTCAGGTCAGGACAGCAACTGCCTGACCATATCCAGCAAAATTCACTCGAAGGGCACAACCTTTGTTGTATCACCTGCACGTGACAGTCTGGGGGAAAGCGCACGAGCCTCTAGGCAAGGCAGCCTGGGGAGAGCGGCCAGTGCTCCACGGGACAGAGAGACCAGGAGGCTCCGGAAGGAGTGCAGTCTAAAGCTGGCTCTCAGCAACCAGCAAAGCAGAGTGAAACAACCAAATTGGGGTTATCGCTTGGAAACAGAGACCAGCAGAATGGGCTAGTGGAAATGTAAAGCAGTTTGAAGCTTCAGCTGGGCAACCTCCAAATCTCCATGTACTAAGACCTGCAGAAATTGATGTGCCTCAGTGAGAAGCAGAGAAAAAGATCCAGTAGGTGTGCTTGATATTGGGTTACTAAGACTTCCTAAATGGAGAAATACTGATCAAAAATCAGGAAGGACTGATCCATGATTCAGTCTTTCATCTTGCACAGTGCCTGTGAATCAGCTAGCAGAAGAAAAGCAAGTGACTTCAAATGATGATTCAAAGACACAACAGCATTTGAAGTACCAGAACATGAGTAATACTTTTCCTTCAGATAGAGATTTGGGAGTAGAAAAAATAATTATAATAAAGACTCAAATGACCTGGGAAGTGGCAAAATAGTAGTTTTGAAGGAAATGCATCTGTAGGGTCTGAAAAATTCAGAAAGCACATCTCAATGTGATAAAATGCAGCAAGCATTCGGAGATCCACTTCATTAGTTCTGTTGGTACATAGGAGGAACGGGGATGGGTGCACTGTTCCAAAAGACTAAGAACTTAATGGCAAGATAGCTGAGATAATTTATGCAATTTTATGCAATAGGTGGGAGCTACTTGTTCAGATACAGAGAAAAAGATATTAGCTATTCAAAGGGGATTTTCAGACCTGTCCCATTCTCTCCATGGCAGTTCAGTGGCTAAGCAGTGTGGTATAGTCAACACAGCAAGGAATTTACATCAGATAGGAAAAAAAGCAACTTAATCACACTCAGCCCTCTCTCTAGAAAATAGCACTCCATGACCTCTTTTATGTCTTCTCACATGCCTCAATCCAGATGAAAAATATGAGCTACTCTAAGCATTGTATTTGTGCAGCATACTTATGATGGCACTGATAGAGCCTTGCAGGCCCCATTACACACCTTACTGACTGAAACTTGGCAGACTTGAATTTCCCACAAAAATGACAATATCTCCTTGAGAGACAGTGAAGGAGCCAAGGCCATATCCAGAAAACCAAAGGGGCAGTCAATGGCCATTTCAAATGAAGATGGGTAACACTCACAGAAAACTCTTAAAATAAGCTTGGCTAACTCCCCTGTGAAATGTGAAGGATGCAAGCAGGCAGCTTTCAAATACAAGCATGCACCAACCTGAGATATAAAGGGCAATCAAATATAATAAATTATGAAAGAATTGACTCCACATGTCACACACAGCTTTTCACCAAGGGTTTAGGCAGGATATGGCAATAAACCGGAAAATGAAGTTTGTTACTAGCTGTAATCCAATTTTTCTGTCAGACAGTGAATAGTTCTGCTCTTGCCAACATACTGTGTTTGTTTGGGCTGGTTTTGGGTTTTGCTTTTTTTTTTTCCTCCCCAGTATTTTTCAGTTATACAATTTGTTCCTCCTAGGTTTTGTTTTCTTTTTGAGGACACAGTGAACCAGGCATATCACAGCACGTTGTAGTTCAAATTTGAGCAAAAGGTCAAGTAGGCCACGGGTTAGGAAAGTCTGTAAATGGTTGTCCCAGAAGCAAACAGTTCTCCCTGTGTAGCATGACTGTAGTGTGTAGCAGTGTGGGGTTTAGATGGTGGTTGCTGCTACCTAGAGTAGTGTTTATGTGTATTTCATTTCCTAGAAAATAAATTTTAATTTGTATTTTATATGACAGATATTTTTCAGTAATTTTATAGGCTCAGGCACTATACACATTTTTAGTACCCATGGGTTAAGCAAGCATGTATATATATTATATATATATATATATATATATATATATATAAATATAAATATACACTACCTATAATCCAGAATAAACCACTGCAGTCAGTTCTAGCTAGAACTGAGTTGATTTCATTAAGTATGCTCAGATGGCTCCCTGTGTAAACATATGGATGTATGACTTGTTAGTGTCTCAGTTTTAAGTGACAAACTCTGTACTGGGCTGTTTAGAGAATTCTTTCCAATCCCAGTTGCCTGGGAACGTTTGTGTTTGTCTCTACCAACTGTGGCAAACAACCTTCATACCCATTAGTCATGGAAAGTAAATAGCTAACTTAACTCAGGCAATAAACCCAAATAATCAGTAACGGCAGCAGGTGATAAATGTCAGCAGAACTGATATTATATTAGATCTGAGTTATTGAGTAACACTAATGTGCAATGAATCGGGGCCAGAGGTCTGATGGGAACAGCTGACATGAGACAAACGTACAAGCACTTGTTTTCATCTCTTGTTTTTGAAAAGATGCAGAAACAATGATATCACCTGAAACGGCTGTAAAACTACCCCAGAAGCCATCCAGCCTTCAAGCATGTCTGTGCCATATCCATACCTGGCTTCTCCATGCTTGTGATTATGACTGCATGCAGAAAGCCATGGCACCTCTCAGGGCTCCCAGTTAAACACCGTGCTGCTGGTCTCTCCCATGTGCTCATCTTCACATGCACACACGCAGGATTCATGCTCCAGTACCCCTGAAAATCTGTTGGGCTTTTGCACCTGAGTTGTTTGCTTTCAAAAATGCAAACCCAAGCCATGTCACTGCTTTAAATCAACAGAAGAAAAATGCAGCTACCTTACACACAGATGTAAATGCAAGAGCTCTGTCTTCTCAGTGATCTTCATAACTCACTCAGCTTTTCCAATGCCAGCTTTCTATGCCAAATTATTCACAAACCTCACAGCATTCTGTTACAGAGTCCATCCTGCTATTGAGCTCTTTGAGCCCTTTGTTGAAGGGGCCAATAATGACCAAACACTGGCTGTCCATCCATACATTGACCTTAATTCAGCACTGTCTTGTGCCACTGTTGGTGGTGATGCAAAGTGGCTGTTTGCCATTAGTGAGTCTGGTGGCTCTTTTAAGCTGGTTTCTCACTGGCAGCATTACTACTCAGGAAGCAAAGGAGCAACTCAGCCCTTGCCCCTTCAGCTTTTCCCTGTTTTTACTCTCTTTAAACCTGCTCTACCCCCTGTCTTTTTTGTCCCTGCAAGTTCCTGTGGGAAATAATGGAGTTCTGGAGCTGGATGCACAAGCAAGCAGACTTTCTGAGCACTGCTAAGTCCATTAGACAGGTGACCTCCTTGCAGTCAGACTCATGCTTCTCCTGGGGCAGTGAGGACAGGGATGCAGGGGAGCCCAGAGGGGAGGATGGAGGGGAGAGATCAAACCTCAGGGGCAGCTGAGCTCTGCTGTCTTCTAAAGTGAGGCTGGGATCTGAAACACCACTGGCCACAGCTGGCCACAGGTAAACAACAGTTGGTGCTTCATAGGAAAGTGTGAGAGCCCTTTTATGGGCAGTAGAACAATATTTCATCTTAATCCCAACTTTGTACAAATTTTGTGCAGCGTCTTGCAGCTGGTGGCTCCAGAAGCTGCTCTGTGCAATGAAATGTGTGGAGGAGCTGCATCTTGCTATCATCCTGCCTGGGATTTTCAAACTTTCCACTGAGCACTTTGTGTTAATCATTCACTACATTATAAAAACATCACATTATGTTTGCTTTATTATGTTGTTTGTTAATCCTGAATGCTTTTCCCCTTGCTTTCCAAAATAGAAAGATCACCTGAGATGCTGTAGAGGATTTGACCTACGGCTCCTGCTCCATAAGAATATTTTCCTTGCAGGTCTCATGCCATATCTGCTGTGGGGATGTCTCTCTAAAGACGTTAATCATGTCTCATAAATGCCAGTATCATTAACTGAATTGACAGGTTTTTCCCCCAATAATTTCCATGGACAAATACAGAGAAAGAGTGTGTACTCCTGGCTTTCTGGCCACCCAGTGGTGGTACTTTCCTGCAGGAGTTTCACATTTTTAAAATAAATCATAGAAACCATCTAGTGTCCGGGGAGGAATCTTACCTACTGCTTCTTGTCTTATCTCCATTTTGTGTAACTCCCAGCTGTTGCATTTTCAGCCTTAAAAAGCTCCTTGCCACCAAAATAATTTCCATTTTCTTGTTTATAGGCTATGATAAACATACTCTTTAATTTTCAGTTTAATGACCTAAATAGATTGAATTCTGAAGCTGTTTATGTCACAGAAGTTTTCTAACCCTTGAATAATTGCTGGGACCTTTCTCTATTTTGTCTTTAAAAATTCTGTCTAATTTTTTAAGTTGACTTTAAAAAGTGGACTTTTAGAAAAAGCCAGAGACTCAGAAGTTGTCTTACCATAGGCAGCCATATCTCTGCCTACTTCCAAGTGTTCTGCTTACATGTGCCAAAGTTCTTTCTCTTGATACAACCTGCTATAGCTCATTCATTGAGCTACTTACCACAGTCCCTATCTAAGTGGCTACTTCTGTCTGAAACACCTTCCTTTACAGGCTACATCCATTCTTGGTTCCTTGGTTGATTGAAATAGAAGTAGTTCATCAATACAGACACCTCAGTAAAACAAACTTAGATGTGATAAAATTTTCTTTTACTTGACATTTTCTCCAGGTGTGAATTTTTGGTTTCTCCAATTAATTGAAAGATTCATTAACAATTAATACCGGGCTGAAACAATTTGCTCACTCTTCTTTAGACAGCTTACTGTGGCAGATTTCAAAATCTTCTGTGAAAGGTGAGTTACCAAGCGCTCTTTTCAGATCCATTTATATTTACCAAATTGTCTGCTTCCAAAGCAATTCTTTGTGGAACTGGTGCCCAGACACAGGCTTAGGCAGCTGTCCATGACACCTGGCAGGCTCCTGTTGCTGTTCCATCAGCTGAGCATTTTAAACAGCCTCACAGACAGCAAAAAGCACAATTTAGTTTCGTGCAGGGACAATTCCAGAGGATGACGTAGCTCCAAAGAGCACGGGTGGGGAATGGCTCCCTCACCATCCCAAAGGGAAGTCCAGTGGCCATTTGTCTGGGGGCCAGTTCCCTCAGGCCTCCCAAGGGCTTCTCATTTCTCCTTAAGGTAGCTAGCTGCAGGTTCAGTTTCCTGCTTCCATTGGGACCTCAATAGCAGTATAAAAACTTACTCGTAGATTTGTTCTATCATCAGTCAGGTCAGCATCAATCTGGTCTTCCTAATCAAACGTATAATTTTATAATTAAATATATTTCTATGGAAAAAGCTAATTAACAAGTGCAAGACATTAATGATAATCAGTATTTTTAAAAAAGGGATATAACTGATATAAATTATGTAATTTCCATGCCCATCAGAGGATTAGTATAGCTGCATGAGAACTGCAGTTCAGTATTTTGGCAAAGTCCCGTTCCCCTCTTACCGCCTCCGTGTATCTGACACAAGTATGGAAAGCGCCACACGTTCCCCAGGCCAACGGCAAATCCGATACAGCTCAAAATGTACTGGAACTTATTGTCCCACTTGGGTCTGCCATCTTCTTTGGGGGTTTCAGGTGTTGCTGATAAATCTTGTGGCATTATAATGAAATATCTGTGGCTTCTCAGCCCCTTTCCCTAAAAATGGGAAGATGCTTCAAAACCTGTCTCTCCTACAGGTTTTATGCAGGGTGACAGAAGGATCTTGGAAGGAAGGTGGAGCTTTCTTTTTTTCTGATGCAAAGGGCTGTGTCATTGCCAAGGATGCAGTTTAAAGACAAAACCAGGAATTATTGTTATATAGAGAGTTACCACTCTTGCCTTTTTTGCAGCTGCTTCTATAGTTAGACAGCTTGGGAATATGTTGTTAATGGGTAACTCAGGATCAAACAGGTTTTTATTTTCTGTTCTCCTTATTTTCTGTTCTCTGTCAGAGAAGTGTGACACTGAATATAATTACAAAGAAACCTTTGCAGTGGACTAATTAAAATTGCAAAATACCTGCAAAAATCTGTGAATAAAACATTGGCATTTCCTGTCTTAGTTTATTAATAGAAGTAAATAAATTAAGTCATCTTTTCAAATAAAAAAATTCAATTAGAAAAAAGAAAAAACAAGAAAAATTAGACATTGTGTGTTCAGACATTAGAATTTGGTAATTTGGTCCATTTTCACAATAGTTGCTAGAAGTTAATCACTTCCCACCTGTCAATGAATCCCCAGTGACTATTTTTATTATTCATTAAATAGTTACTGATGAATGCAAGAGCCGAATGCTTTCCTTCAATTGAAAATATGTGAGAATATTTTTCTGTTTTCGTTCAGTCATACCAGGGTTTTGCTGGTGTGCATGCCAAATCAGTTCACACTAAACAGAGCAGCCAGTCAGCTTGCTTGCCTCAGTAAATCAACAAACAGTTTATGCCTGGATTCCCCTCTCCAAATGGGAAGAGTTTCTAAGTGAAGGTGAATTGTTTTTCCCAAAATAAAAGGCGAATTGTTTTCCCCAGAAATTCCCCTGCTCTGCTGCTAAGCACACAAATGGGGTCAGGTTGCAGATCATCCAGCCAGAAGCCAGTTTGAGATCAAGGCTGCATGATTCTCCCTGGGCTGTTACAGCTCATCTGCTTACACCCCTGCAAATATCCAGGCTCACAGATAGAGCAACTCAACTTCCCAGTGTCTTGTCCAGGATTGTCTCAGAGCTTCAGGTTCAGTTTCCTGCTTCCATTGGGACCTCAGTAGCAGTAAAAACTTCTGGAAACACAGGGTGGTTTGGCAGCCCTTGCACAATGTCAATGGCCCCAGGGCACACACCACTATCACTCCTTTCCCTGCTGCTCTTCTGATCAGGAGATGCCTTGGGCTGGGCTTGGGCCCTTCCACCAACACCCCAAATTCCACACCTGGCACCACAGCCAGCCACCTCACACATAGTGTTGCTCGTTCCTGGTTGTTGAGCTGTTTATCAGCAGAAAAATCAGACAAAAAATGTTCTTCCTATTAAAGAATAACATCTTCAAATAGTTTAAAGAGTTACTTACATTAATGTAATTTTTTAAAAAATGAAAATTAAATGTAAATTAATTTAATCATTCAGATTCTGTGGCATGGGTTGCCCAGAGAAGCTGTGGATGCCCTGTCCCTGCACATCCAGGCTGGATAGGCTTGGAGAAACCTGGCCAAGTGGAAAGTGTCCCTGCCCATGGCAGGGGGGTTGGAATTGGATAATCTTCAAGGAATTTTCCAACCCAAACCATTGATTCTATGATTCCATGAAGTACACATGCAATGTGTACTTTACTCTTAATTTTCAATGCAATGCACTTTACTCTCAATTTAGAGGAGATAGACTACCCTAAAGATACATTCTTGAGTAAATATACCCTAAGTGTACCTATTCCTTTTAATAGAGTACATTGATTACAACCAGTATGAGGATCTAAACTGGATCCATTCTGGTTTCAAAAGGTGGGTATAGGAACTGCTGCAATGTTACACAAGTGTATGACTGTCCATGTACACAGACAGTTGGATGGAGAGGATCACCCATCCAGAGGGGACATGGACACTGCTCCAGGCACTCTGCCTGTGTGCTCTAACAGTGCCCCTTTCCTCTCTGGTGGCCACATGAGGAATGCGATCCCTCACTGAGCTCCACTGGGTCACATGGAAGGAAGTTAAAAAATTCAAATAGTTGTCAGGTGTGTGTGTTTGTGTATGCACATGAACCAGAGCCACTTACCTTGATGGCAACAGGGAGCAAGATTTGCACCTTGGTGTGCCTTGGATCTGCCATCAGCACGGATCCCCCAGGCAAGTGGTGCACCCCTTGCTCACAGGTGCCACAGAAGGCAGATTTTGCTCTGTCCTGAGCTGCTGCTGCCCCATTGCAAGATTACCTCTCCTGTCATCAGCAAAAGCAGCACTATCTGCTAGGAACTTGGAAGTTATAGACAATTTATAAAATATATAGAATTCTGAATTAATCAAGTTGTCATTCTCATACTTAGAAATGTTTTTATTAAATATTTAAACTTCTCTATGAAACAAATAATATTAGTGGCTTTGTGCAACACAGTGGTATGTAAAGTAAAAACAATTTAATTTGCAAGAGAGGACAGCATTAAGTTACCCTTCATATTGGCCACCCAACCAGAATGATTACACATGGAAGAGTCACTTCATGCACAGTGCATTCCCAAGCACAGGGGCTAGAAGCCAGTTTCAAACAAGCTGGCTTCAGAACCAGAAAGGGACAAATTATTTGGCCTGGTGCCCCAATCACTTGCAAATGTCACTTTTTTTGCTTCCAGAAGCCAGGCCATCAACTCTTCACAGTTCATTGCCTTGTTATGCAAATGTTTACCTGGAAACAACACATGGTTACCCTTCAATGAAAATAAAATTAACTCCAGATTCATAAAAATATATTTTTTTTACTTTCCTCACTGACAGGGCATCCTTCCACATTTGAAAAAATGAAAGGTTTATGATGTATACTTTAAGTTTCCATTAATGGAAGTCTCAGATGTAGCGATGAGGCCAGCACGATCATTTTTTTTCTGACAGTGGCTCCTGATGGCTTTGTAGATGGCAAAGGTAGGGATGGTCAAACTGGGCACTCCAGCAAGGATTACAATGATAGCATACACCCAGGGGGGATATTCAACCTTCTCTGTTTTGGGGAACTCCTCCTGAAAGAGCAAACAACCAAGTTGTAGAAAGTCATGAGGAGCAAATATCTGGGACCATGCACACATTCAGTAATTCAACAGATCAAAAATGTGATGAGGACATTGGCCAGCCATAATGGCACAACAGTCTGCCAATTCCACAGCAGCTTTCAGCTCAAGGGTTTCCAGCCTCAGCTGTTTTGGGCTTATTTTTACTTCAAAGTGATATAAAGAAAATGGGATGAAAGCAGTAAGAGCCAGGAAGGGAGAGTGGGGGACTGGAAATCTTCCTTGGCACAAAGGAATGTGGGCATGGGGGGCCTGAGAGGCCACCAGGGCCTTTTTGTGGGAAGGCTGAAATCAAAGGGTGAGGGAGGGCCGAAACATTAATAAGAGGGAAGTGAGGTTGCAAAAGAGGAGAAAAGAAAGCAGTCCCATTTCCATATCTTGTGGCAAGTTTGCCAGAAAACTGTTTCAGATGGAAGATGAATATAACTGACAATGACTATTACATTAAAGAAGAATACTTAAAATAATTCTAAATAAATATTTTGGTTTACACACTTACATAGTTAGGGTCCCAAACACTGTAGAGCAGTTCTTGGTTGACTTTCACCACAAAATAAAAGAAAAAGATAACTAACATAATGAGAGGACTGACGAGTCTCCAAGTAACCTGCCAGAAAATGTTGGGCTTGTGTCCAGTCATGAACTCAATATCCTTGTTAAACCTAGGAACAAAAAGCAGGAAGTTCAGACTAAAAAGCTGGCCAGGATAAGAGAATGCGTGCTCAGAAACAGGGAAATCCAAACTACCGCTTACTGTGGTTCCCAGGAATTTGCTAATGTCAGTTTGAGAGCAGAATTTACAAGATCAGGAGTTAGACCTCACTAGTTCAAATTAAGGCACATATCATTGCAAGTTTGGAAAATTATTTTTGGAGATGTATTATCTTGAAGATGTCTGTGAGGATATGTGAAATAGCTTCAACAGAAAAGAGTCAGTGCAGATGGATTTTCGCCAGAACATATTGCAGTATTGCTTCACAATTTTTTGATAAGTATCTCAGAACTGCATAAATTAAAGGGAGTGATACAATATTTAAAAAGAACAAAAGCAAATAAAATAATTTAATAATTAGATTATAATACGATGTTTGTCTAATTTGGATATCTACCAGTTTTCTCAGGCTGAATAATGAAACATTTCTTAACTTTACACATTATTAAAAACACCTACATTGTGTTATTTGGATAATTCATGGAACATGCAGTGGTCAGTGGGGCAAAAATATTTCCACAAGAAGAAACAAGCCCTGCATTGAGAGTGGTAATGTCTGCATCATTCCCGAACCAATTTATGTCTTCTACATATAATGCAACACCTTGTGCACACACCTTAAAAAACAGTTTGGAAGTTTCAGGTTTCTGCTTTTGTCCTTTTGTCTGGATTTCCTGCATGTCCTATGGGAATAAGCCTGAGGGGACTTTTGAGTTGGTCCTTCAACTATGAACAACACACTGAATCCACTAGAATCTCAATTACTATGGAAATTTATTTTATCTTTTCATCCCTAACTTCTGAGATCTGAGTGTCTTAAAAGCCATGGAGCCCCATGTCCTGACTGCAGTGCGTGTTCAGGTGTAGTTACGAGTGTCACGGATAACCACATGTTCTCCTTCAAGCAACAGAGCCATCTTTCTAACAATGACCCTTTCTCAGAAAAAGGTCACAGAAACTCATCTGGAGCAGATAACACCACACTTGGGCAGCCCTGAAAAGCTCTGCTCTCAAAGAGGGCTACAGTGGTGTGTACTGGCCAGGAATATTAAAGTTTGGTATGAGGCTTTTTTCTCAATCAAACACAAACACACACCTTGCCCCCACTTTATGGACTCAACCTATGCTTGTGTCCTGGGAATTATTTTAATTTACTTTATAAGGAGTTCAGAGATTTTAAAGGGAAAGAAAAGTGATCTACATCGCTTTTTCTGGCCTTAACAAATTAAAATAAGCCTTCTTTCTCAAGAGTACACCATCTAATTTACCTAACCTGATTCATGCTTCCTTAAGTAACATAAAAGTATGGGAAAATGGGTCACAAGGGCATTCATCCCACTGCCAGGAGCAGTAGCTGAATCTGGCACAAGTTCAAGTAAAACGTGTGGGTGATTGAATTCCCTGTACTTTATTTCACATTTCTTGTGTTTTTATTACAAACATGAAGATGTTGAAACTTGATTTATTACACCTGTAGAAAGTTGAGAGGATAATTTCTCACTGCTCCAACTGATAAAGTCCTGGATTTATCAGCTAAGAACGTATCTCAGTAGCCTGGATTTGCAAGCTGCTGTAAACTAATGTCTGCAGCCTGCCTGGAGATCCCTGTACTGGAGAGCATCATTTAGCACTCCCTGTAAACACCCCTGGGATATAACTCTGGGTTAAACTTTCAGCTCGGTGCCAGTGTGTGTGTACTTTGCTTCTGCTAATTAAATGTTTAATGCCATTATCCTGAAGAAGAGTTATTATAAATGTCACCATATTTAAAAGGCAAATGATCTATAGTGGCTCTTACGTAACTGTTGCAAATATCTACATTCTGATGCCTACTTTAAAAATAAACTATTTGCTTTCATATTAATGCACTCCATTGATGCTTATATTCTCTTGCAATATCTTAGGGATATCTTTATTTGAACTAGTTGTTAAAGAGCATTATTTATTATAATGTATTAATAAAGTGGAAAGCTTTCACATACAAACACTTGGCAAGCATTATTTCTTTTCACTGAGAACTCTTTAAAAAACCTGAAACATATAAGAACCCTAAATTATAGCTGCATAATTTCATTGATTTCTATAACAGAAATTCTGTGCACAGAGATGCAGTGAGATTGTAGCTATGCAACAATAATCACTTTATGCATTGATATCAAGTAATGGTTAAGCTGTATTTCATACCTGTCTATTCCATAAATGTAGACGACTGAAAACATCTCACAAAATGCAATTATCAGCAGGGGAATAGAGCCAGCATAACCATCAAATAGACTCAGCCAGTAATTACCAGAATTCAGCACAAAAATGAAAGCTATCAAATAACACACCAAACAAACGAGACCTGTGGGGAAAAAAAAAAACCAAAAACAACAGCACACTTAGGTGTGAAAGTGAAAGCAAAATGGGAAAGAAAAGTATTTCCCCAGTAGCTATAAAGCTTAAAGAGTAACTCTTGCAGCCTGAGGGCCACCACTTTATTTTTTAATGGCACTCTGGGGAGGCTGGCTTCTGTTTGGGCAAAACTCTCCTAACATTACACAGGTGGCAGATGTGGCAGACAAAAATGGTGAAGGCTGAGGAGAGAAAAGAGGTCCTCTTCCCCATAGATGATGGGATAATGTTGCTCTGAGAGAAATCCTGCCCGGATGAAGGACTCAGGTCCTTCAGCTTCCCAATGGAGGAGTCAGTGGTCATCAGGAGCAGGCTGATGGGCAGCCCTAAGGGTTAACAGCTGCCTGCAGGCCCAGAAGGAACCTCACACGAGCTGCCCCATTGGGGAACATGGAAAATCTTCAGTAGGCTATCTGGGAGTCTTATACCATTCCAGATCAGAAGGTAGCAGTGAGGTGGGCTGCTTTTTCAGCACACAGGATGCTCTCTGAGCAGGGTGGGGAGGTCACTAGTGTCTAAAAATGCACTTACCAGTAATAAGTTCCTTAGGCACTCTGGGGGATATAATCTTGAGATCTTGTAAAGGCACAAGCACACCTTCCATATTCCCAAACATAGATGACAAACCCAAGCAGAAGAGCATGATGAAGAAGAGGATGGACCACAAAGGTGAGACAGGCATTTTGGTGATTGCTTCAGTGAAGACAATAAAGGCTAGGCCAGTTCCTTCAGCTCCCTGGGGAAGATTTAGGATCATTAACATCACAGAGCACTTAAATTTACATTGGTAGTCACTAGACTTGGCAATTAAATAGTTCTATGCATTCCCACCATATTTAAGGTATCAATATCTGTTACGTTGTTAAACTTACATCATTCAGGAAAGTTTCCAGATCACAGGTTTCAAACTTGAGGGTTGCAAAAGTATCTGGATCAGTCAAGTTGCACAGCTGCTGCATTTGTTCAAAGTTATCTTGGGTTACGTTACCTTCTGGCAAATCGAATGCATTCATCAGAGTAAGAATATTCCTGAAAAAGTGAAATGTAAGGAATTTGAAATTATTAATTTGTAAGCATCATCAGGATTCATTTACATCATCAAACAAGTTATTAAGTTTAAAATATTAAGATCAGATTTGGCATTGGAAAGTCCATCAGAAGTGCATGTGTGATTTTCTTTCTTCCAAGGTGAATATAACACTGTCTCTCATGGCACAGATGATTCGAAATGGATGGGCACTCTAGAAACCCATGCAGGATTTGGGTGCTTGTGTTAGCGTTGCAAACTGAACACCAGTCCCCAGACTGGGTGGTTTATGGGAATGTCTAAGTTGTCTGCAGCTGTGAATCATGCAGTTTCACAGTTGAATGTGGAGGAACTAGACTGGAAACCACAGAGTCTGACTGCCTGGGTAAAATGAGGCACCTCTGATGAGACCTGAGCTTTTGAGCTCTCCAGGAGGAAACCTAAACACAGAGCTAACACAGGAACAAGGAATATTACACTCATACCCTATGTCAGCATGGAGAATAATGAAAAACATAATTATGTAGGAAATAAGGTGACTTAAGCAATTATCACTTTCTATGGGGTTTGTTCCACAAGATTCTGTATTTTTATGAGTAATGAGTGGTTCTGATGCTATGTGAGTCAAGAGCTGCAATTATTCACAAATGATAAATCCACTGTCAGCAGGCTAACAGAGCTGCCTCAGACAAACAAACACCTGCATATTCTGTGGGGTTTTTTTCCCCCCAGTAACTCACTTGTCAAAGCAGTCGTCATATCTTGCTGTGGCTCTGAACCCAATGATGGAGTATATGACAGTGGCAGCATAGATGGATGTGAAACCATTGATCACTGAAACGATCACAGCATCTTTCTCACAGTTGTTGCTGCAATTCAAAGAGAAGAAACAATGGATGTCAATCACATTCCTAAAATAAATTATAAAACTGGCTACCAAGACTAAGAAAAAATAGTCTAGGATGCATAAGTACATTAATGTACCCTCTAAAAGCACACAAGTAGTGCTGTTAGATTTAGTTAATTAAAACTTGGTGCCTTAAGCAATTTAATAGCTATGGGTTTGGTTTCTTTTGGCGTTTTTTTCCCTCTTCAAATAACCTGTTCATAAGGAACAATTGCCTGAGCTGTTTTCATGTTTGATTCTTGTGAAGTAAAGTAAAAAAAAAAAACAGGAGCAAAAGAGCCTCCTCCTTTTCAAGCTTGTCATGGATGTGTGCAGAAACACATTGCCACAGGCTGTGTCTTCACTGCTGGTGTATTGTGCTGCAAGGTGAAAGGTTTGGGCTTGAATCCAAATATCAGACATGAAAAGTGAGCACAAGTTCACTTTTCATAGCACTCGGGTATGGTGAAATTGCAGCAGCCAAGAGCACTTGGGAACAGTTTTGTTTGACTGTTGAACAAAAGATGGTTCAAAATGTTCCCAAGTTTTGGAAGAACAATGTAACGTTATGCTGAAAAGATGGGACAGAAAAACTCTTTGTAGAAATGCCTCTGCTGCAGGCACTTCTTGCTAGTGTGTCTGTGCTAATGCAAAGAATTTGCAGAGCCAGAAACAGACTTTCATCTGAGGGACAAGATAAAATATCAATATTAAATTAGTTAATCATTGTGAGAGAAGGCTGTAAAACTGCAGATAACTCATTTGTCCTAGGCAAGAAAGGGGTATTGAGATAAACTTGATGTTGTCATTAATTTTCTGAGCATGTTCAAGAGGAGAGACAAACTTGTCCAACCAAGATCTATCACACTGTGTCCTTTCCCCATTTACAGCATTGGAAATAGGCATCTCCTGGATGCAGGACATTGAATGGAAATTCCTTGCTGTAGTCTTGTGTCAGTTTTTGCAATGTAACATGAGATTCTCAATGACAGGCTTGAAAAACATTTCTTCCTTTTAGAGAAAGCAAGATGCTCAAGCTCCTTCTCATTGTGAATTACTGAATCCTTGACAGCATTGAAACCTTATTGTATTTTCTGATGTTTTTGTACTCCCAAACCATCCAGGGGCAGACTCAGTGACCCCTGGTCGAGCTGGTGCTGGATTGCAGGTGGCCCAACACCACAGGGTAACACTGTGGAATTTGCATGGAAATGTTCTTACTTATATTCCCTGGGAGTTTGGTGACTTTGTTCAGTTCCCTCCTTAAATCATGGATCATTGAGCATTGAACATGGCCTGAATGGAACTGCCCTGTGTGTTGGAAAACCCAGAGGACACTGCTCCTTTTCTTTGTGTCTTTTGGAAAGGTGGATGCTCCCAGGTCTGACCCCATGGCTGTGAGACATTGACTTGGACCTTAGGCAGGGCTTGACACCTCACATTGAGACTTGCAGACACCAAAAATTTCAGGTCTTTTCAAAAACACCTGAAATCAAGAGTGGTGGCAAGGAACTTCCTCAGAGACTGAAATGCTGCTGTGGGTAATTGAACCCTAACCAAAACTGAAACACAGATCTCTGAATGCACAACCAAACCACATATCCAAAACTTAATTCAGAGATGCTGTCCTGTTTTGAAAAGGAAGTGAGATTTTGGGAGTTTGATGGTCAAACCAATAGGTGCTGAGATTTGGTCACATCTCACAGTAGACACTAGGGAGAATATATTTTCATGGGGGCACTGGCATTGCGCCAGCATCAAACCATGACAGATGTTTATCAAAAATATTACATTTAGTGAATTCCAGACAGTTTTCCTTTCAAGAGTTCTGAAGGGATGGCAGGCACCAAGAGGCATTGGTAGTTGCTGCAATATTTTATGAGAGAATGTAGAATATAGCATTGCATCATAATTTGCAGGCTGAATCAGTCTCTGGGTGATGAGATTTCTCACTCCCTGGCCCAAAGCACACATATAAAGGAACGGAATTTAAATTTCAAGATTAGATATATCTCTTCATCTCAAAGCTAAAGTTTTAAACTGTGTTCTGTGAATTGATTTGAAAGATGTGCTTTACCACCTGCTCTGAGACCAAGGGCATCACCATGCACTGAGCACTCCCAGAGAGGAAATTCCTGCTCATCAGCTGGTGCTGGGCAGCCAGTCCCCTTCTTCCTATCCTGCATCACCACGTCTTTCTCTAGGAAGTCAGCCAGAGCAGGGACCTGAAATCTTGTTTTGGGAGGGCTAGGAGCAGTCAGAGGAGATGCACCTTACATCTCTGAGGGGAGGCTGTCCCAGTCCCAAGCAGCACAACAGCAGGGCAAAATAAAGATGTTTCATTTGAAAGAATGAAATATTCATATAAAATTTGGGTTTTGCCTGGCTACTTACTGAACAGAGTTGTAACTGGAGAATGAAATGAGGCCTCCAAAGGCCAGGGAGAAGGAGTAGAACACCTGAGCTCCTGCATCCAGCCATGTCACTGGGTTCGCCAGCTCACTGACCTGAGGCATCAGACACACAGCTTTAAGCACATCCAACATTGGTATTTAAACTGAGTATGAGAGATTTGAAACAAGAATTAAAACAAGAACATTAACCATGCAAGACTCACTGTTCTTGAAGAATTTCAACAAATAGGTCAATATTTTAGTCAAATTTACTTTTTTTTTATAAAAGAAAACCTATCTGAAGTTTTTATGTAAGTATTTTGAAAATTGATTAAAAAAATGCTTTGCATAGCTGACAGATGCCATGCCTGGTTTCAGAAAAGGTGTTTATTACTAAGCATTAATAATGATCATTCAGAGATCTGCTTATGGAAATGATGCCTGTTTTAATTTTGTTTAAATACTGTTATATTATTAAACCTTTCTCTTAGTTTTTTTTTTTTTTTTTGTTCATACGTTTTGTTCATATGGCAATTAGGTGGGTTCTACTCCCAAATACATGATTTATGCTTTAAATTTAGGCTGGTTCGTAGGTAGAATACAAGAAAATAAATCCAGCCAAATAAATGACAACCCCACTGCTCTGTGATGATCATTCAACTCATTAGAACAGCTCTTGATGGAGGATGGAGAGAGAGAGAGAAAGTATTTGTGTGTATGTATCCTCTTCATCTCCAATGCAGAGGATTCGCCTCACAGAATCAAGGTTTTTTAAGGTGCCTGAGGGATAGTTAGAGAAGCACCAGTGGGGAGGACTAATTTTCAATCAGTTGTTAATCACAGAGAGGACCACAGCATGTTTCACTGAGCAATGGCCCAAGCAGTGGCTTACATTAGGGGTGAAGAGATACACAATTCCGTTGGTTGATCCCTTCAGTGTCAAGCCGCGGATCAGGAAAATGGTGAGCACCACGTACGGGAGAGTTGATGTCACATACACAGCCTGCCCCCCAAAAAAAAGAAGTCAATAAACCATTCAAATGAAACAAAACACTTGATTTTTTTTTTTTTTTAAGTAAAGAAAATAGGGAAATAATCAAGGTTTCCTCAGTAACAATAATGGCAAGTTTCAAGTGAGCCACAATTAGCATACTACAGTAAAAATGTTCAATGAAGTGATATTTGTAGTACACATGGATAATAAACATTTTTTTGCAATAGTGGCCTATTTAAGAGAAATTGTCATTGTTGAAATTCAACTCAGATTATTCAAAAGCAGCATCAAAAATAGTGTACACCCTGAGACCAGACTGATGGAAGGATGGACTCTCAGGACTTTGCTGAATGTTGGTCCCTCTTTTGTAGAGATAATATTTAGGACTTGCACAAACCCAAATAAATCTGTATAGGCATTTTTTGAAGAGAATAGCCATAATAAAAAGAGAGTCCCTTGATCTTGCATTAAAGATTAATATTAGTGTTAAAGTGATAATACCTAAAAATGTGTTACTAGGACCTGTAAGGACAAGGAAGACTCACAAAAAGTTGATCACAAAAATCTCCACATAGATCAAATCAAGCCAGATTCCATTTCATTCACCTTCACTCTTCAAAAAGCAGTCCCAGTGATGACACAAAGTTTTGGACATGCTTTCACTCAAAAACCAGACAGCTTCTACAGCATTATTAATTCTGTATAAATAAGGGATCACAATTGTAGGATTAATATCATGTCATAAAAAGTTGCCCCAAGACAGAGTACCTTTCCTGTGGTTTCAATGCCTCTGATTGTGCACACGTAGAGCACACCCCATGCACATGTTAAACACAGCAACAGCCACCACTGGATGCTGCCAGAATCCTCAATGGAAGTGGAGATGTTCAGTGTTTCTCTGTACCAGAAGTAATCTACAGGAGAGCTCTTGGAACACTCTTCTATATAATCTGTAACCACAAAATGCTTGTCATTCTGTACATCTTTTATTTACTTGGGGAAAAAGAAGCTAAATAATTAATATCAGTGCTTTAAATTGTTCCACTTCATGCCAATGGATTTGTTGTTGGCAAAATTTCAGATTTTTGGAGACTAGTTTCATGGCAAAATAAGATATTTAAAAGACAGCTGTTTAATAGGTATTTTAATACAGCAGCTCTTCTCCTCCCACACCTCCTTCAGCAATATCTTTTCTTCTGTTCTGTGGGGCATTGTTCAAGGTCTTGTCAGCTCAAGTTGAATCCCCAGCTCCCTGCCCTGTGCTGGCCTGTGCAATATTCTGCCCTGGCCTGCCCTTATATGAGGCTTTCCATGCCTGTTGTGGGAGGAGAGGGGCAGAGCACTCTGAACAGCTGCCCACAGACCCAGCAGGAAAACCTGCTTCACACAGTGTCATGCAGGGCTGACTATGGAAAACAAAGCTGCTGTCACCAAGCAGTCTCCAAGCAGATGTAGACTTGTCATACTGAGAGATACAGGTGTTTCAAATGGATTATGCTTTTTTTGTCCTTTTTCAATGTGCTAATGGAGGGCTGTTGAAGGGATGGATGACAGACATTGCTTAAATCTGGAAAATATTAATGTTTATACTAGGTCTGCACTTAGTGAATATTCTGAATATGGGCACATCTGTCAAAATCTACCATGAGGTTTCATAAGAGAAACCAAAATTTGCCTCAAAGATTACATGCTGGACACATTTCATTTAATGTGAATTTGTACAAAACACAAGTATCAAATAGTGCAATGTGCCTCACAGGACTGCCATGCCTTACTGCTGTTTCACAGAAAGGCTCATTTACAGTAACTGATAGAAACAAAAATCTGTGCTGTGCAACAAAATAAAATGTTTTATGAAATATACCTGTTCTGTTGTCGTTGAGAGGACAGTTACTCCATGGCAGGGGTTCTTGGAAGGAGTTGAAGAAATACCACATCACCCAGGCAATAATAGTATTATAGTATAAACCCACCAGGAAAGATACAAACATTGATGCTATGCCTGAAAAAAAAAAAATCAGAAGACTGTGTAAATTGCAACACTCTTGTCTTCAAGATATATCAAAGCACACAGTATCAAACCCAACATTTCCCTTCTCATTTTGGATGGAAAAAATCTGGCACATTTTGGATGTATGTTTATCACTGTGAATTTTTTGCCTAAAGGTTGGACAGGTGAGTCCTACGTAGAGTTACATCCTAAAAGCTCTCTGAGACTGAAGGTGATGCCCACTTTGGAGCCAACTTCATGAGAGGACAAATTCCCTACAGACACCACACAATCCTGCTCACAGCCTTGCCAGCTGATATCCAGGGAGTTTGGGATGCTGGGCACATGTAAAGCTCAGCTGACTTGGGATTTTGATTAAATGAGACTGAAATATCTCCTTCTCCCACAAGGTCCCTGCAAAGTCAGCAGGGGTGGTGTTGTACAGGATGGGTGGCTGCCAGGAGTCACAGTCTGTGACCAGGTACAGAATTCACCCTGGTATCTGTCCTCCTCTGCCTGTTCCCAAGTAATCAACCTCTGGTGACTTCTCTGGTAGACAGTAAATGCTAATCATTAGCTCCTGAGAGCTCCTACGTTCTAAAGACTCTCAAAAAATTCCAGATGCAATGAACAATTATCTTTTGTAACTGATTTACAAATGCAGTGGGTGCCAAAGCAGTCCTGTTTCCTCCCTTTCAAGTGTGTGGTTGAGGTTGGAAGGGATCTCTGGAGGTCACCTGGTCCAACCCCTGCTCCAGCCTGGCCACCCAAAGTTGGTTGCCCAGACCATGTCCAGGCAGGCTTTGAGTATCTCTGAGGCTGGAGACCCCAGAGCCTCCCTGGGCAGCCCATGCCAGTGTCTGCCCACCCTCACCATAGTTCTTGGTGTTCAGAGGCACCTCCTGTGTAAGGAGGCAGCTGTGGAGGTTTTTATGTTGTGTGCACAATGCTGCTTTTACAACATTATCAAATGGACTGTTGTACTCAGAAGTTTGGTACTGTGGTGAAGAAGTGTTTTCTGCAAAATACTGTTTCTGTGGCTTATGGAATGGCAACTCTCAAAAGCAAAAAAGTAAAATTAAGTGGAGCTGATAAAGATAAAGTCTACCAGATAAAGATTCAAGTAATATTTATCCACAGAACAGTTACAGAACAATTTTTGGCACACCTAAATATTCATCCTAATGGTAAAAACCATATTTTCTGTATTAACCATACCCAGTATGGATAATACAGAAAATATCTCTGAGGCCTGAAATTGGTGTCAGATTAGGGAAAGGTTTTAACAGGACCCACAGGACTTGGGAATGTGAACACAAAATTGTCATTGTGCTTTATCGTGATTAGTTTGACCTATCAATGGAGAGTTAGGAAGAGGGGAAAACTAATAGATCCTGAAATCTCTTATGACACACCAAAATAAAACCCAGTAGATTTGTTTTTTAGATCATCAGTTCAGAGACTTGTGCTTTCTCAGGCAGCTTTTTGACTTACCAACCCCTTTCAGGGTAGGGTGGATAGAGCTCCATACACCCACACTGCCTTTCCTCAGCCTTTGACCAATGGCAAACTCAAGATGCAGCAGGGGGATACCCTCCAGGACCAGCAAAATCAGGAAAGGGATCATGAAGGCTCCTGGAATGGATAAGAAAAATAACAATTCCAATCAGTGAAGCAGTAAAACAAAACAAAACCATTAGGCTTGTGAGATATGATAAAGAGACCTGTAAGCAGCCTGTAAGCACTTTTGACATGATAAGCAACCTTAAGCACCTTTGTGGAAACCCTTCCCTGTTTTCTGAGCAATGCTTTTCCTGATTGCCCAAGCAGGGCACTCAGTTACATCTGTAGTTTCAGGCAGCAATTCTTATTCTTCCCAAGTGACGCACATAAACAGAAATTATACACTCTCAAGGTTAAAATTTGAAAAAGCTACCTTTGAATCGCAAGTGAGGGAAAGATAGCTACTGTCCTGGAATGACTTCCCCTGTTTTTTTCCTGCAAAAAATTATGGTTTTATAGCTGTGACTCATGCAAAGTGTATGAAACAGTTGAATGAACTAAGCAAAGTACCCCTAAATATTAGGCAGGAGCCTTGGGCTGTCTGCCTGAAACAACAAGAAGTTCTTGGCATCTGTCCCAACAATGTTTGGGTTTGATTAGAAGACATCTGTAGTGCAGGGTTCAAACCCTGTTAATGATGATAAAGTTGGTTAGTATAGGACAAGTATTCTTAGTTTTTTCCTGAACAAGGTGTACCTTGGATATGGGAGGTATCCCAGAGCAGCACACCGCACTGTAAAAGTACAGAGTCAAATGCCTGAATATTGCTGCACATTAGAATTATTGTTATCTGTCATCACAAAATGGCTTTATCTCCCTAATCTAGAGAGGAGCAATTAATCTGAAAGCAATGAAAAGAATGCAGACCAGAATGTTAAGGGTTCAGGTCTGAGTATTTACTGACTTTTTCCTCATGTGTGCAATGAAAATCAGATAGCAAGTGAAAGAGGAAATCTGAAGACTGAAAACCATTCCAGAAACTGAAATTTACTTCCTGGGGATTCCAAGCTATCAAGAAAGCTGGTGAGCTGTGAGCACAGAGCACACCTTTTTAGATTTTTTCCTTTCTTCTTTTTGTGTCTGTGCCAAGATAGTCATGGGACCCCTTTGCCTGACTGCTCTGTCATAGATGTGTCATACTTAAAGACTTCTTCTGCAGCATCTTAATAAAGGGAACTCCATGAGCACCTGGAGGAAATGCCCTGAGGCTGATAGAACACTCTTGCCGTGTCCACCACAGAAGATGGTTCAACTCTGAGAGTCCTGCAGCAAATCTTACCCACTGTGCTGTCAACAGGGAGAGCTGTGGTGTTGGGACTGTGCTGCTGAATCTCTGAATCTCCCTGCCTTGGAGGGAAAGCCATGTCTGCCCAGACTGCTGGAACTGCGTGAGTGGAGGTGAACTGTGCACTTTAGTGAGAAAAAATGGATCCTAAATCAGAATATCAGCCTGCTTGCTGTCTGCTGAAAGCAAAAGGTTCAGACTACATTTGAATGCTCTCTAAAGCTGCTCAGAAACAGCCTGGTCTTCTCCCCCTTCTGCCAACAGAGATGACAGCTATCAAAAAAGATTTTTCTTTGATAGGTATGATAAGGAGCAATAGGTCATAGCTTGAAAAGACCACAAAGATTGTATACTTCCTTCTTCAATAAGATCTTTGACCAGGGACAAAATTTCTAATCAAGTCCTCAAGTGATCTTACTGTGACCTGACCAAAAAAGGTGATGTGACTCCATTAGGAGCACTCAGCTGAGCTATCTGCCAGCCCATGCTGAGGTTTCAAGGTGTGATCTAAAATCACTGCAAGCTGAGTTTCAAAGGGTGACAAGGACTTATCCTCAGTGCAAATGGGAAGTGTTTGGATTAGGTAGCTGTACAGATCCATCTTCTGGACTTGACTGTTACTGTTGCTCAAGAAGGGCTTTACCAGAGAGAATTGAGAGTGTGGCGTAGCAGAGACCATACGGCATCTGAAAGAGCAGGTAACAAGAAAAGACCCAGATGAGGCATCCACACAAACTCTGCAGGGTCAGGTTTCACACTCTCATGAGGTGTCTTGCTTGAGACAGAGAGAATGCTCTGGAATTTAAAACTGCTGGCATAAACACAGTGATTGTGTGCTTCTCTGATTTTAGCCTCATGAGAGCTCCTGGTCAGAGTGTGACACAAAGGAACCTGTGTCAGGCTGGCATGGGGCTGGAGCCAGGGCACATTTATGGCTGCTGGCACTTCCATGCACTGTAAGTAACTCTGTGAAAGGCCTGAGATTCCGTGTGTGGAGGTTGTCCCACTGAGCCTCCCATCAGGAGGGGGAGGATGGAAAGGAAGCCATCAGGATGTAAGGGGATGGAATGCGACAGCGAGGGAGATCTCATTGCATGCACTGCAACAATCTTGCTTACTATGAAAACGAAAGTAAAACAGTTATGAGAAGTGTTATTCACAGAAAGAGGGTGGAGAATCAGCAGAGAACAAACTATTTGAAGCCAAATTTGCATGCATTGCACATCTAATCAGATGAACAGGGGCCCTTAAGTGCACACCACTGCATGTTCCAGCACAGCTAAGGAAGTCCATAAAGACAAAATGGGACAAGCCTTTAGAAACTGAAAGGACAGACAGTCAGTTCTTAGCAGTGACTGAGTCTGACACAGTTTCAGTGAGTCCCAGACCTTCTGCCAACGTGGGCAACACCTTTGCACTGTCAGCAGTGATGCCAGGCACAGGTGGATGAGGAGTCCATTGCCATTTCTGGCTTAGATGCCTTCCAGGTGACAGTCAGCAAAGCATGGAGAGAGGGCTGCCCCGTTACATCTGACAGCAGTACCTCCTGCAGTCAGTAAATTTTAGAAGTCCATGGAGTGGTGGGAAACAGAGGAAAGAGCCTTATTTTGGAAGAGATCCTAGGTACTCAAAAATTGGAGTAAGCTCTGTATGTTTCACAGGTTTGTGACATGGAAATATAGTCAGAAAGACGTGAGTCAGGAATTGTCTGCTTCAGCACCGACACCATTTGTAACAATATCTCAACTAAGACCACAATGCTAAATTTCAATCTGCAGCTAGGGGAGTTCACTTTCCTCAAAACCAGGGTGGATCACCATAGTTCCCTCCTTCCTGGCATTACAAAAGAGCCACTTCTCTCCAAAGTGAGACAGCAGCAGCCTGAGGCTCCCAGATCCACCCAGAGCTGCTCCCCACTAATGCAAGGCTGTTCCTGCAAGGACTAGATGTTCTCCTGAGAGGGGGATGTAGCTGAGATGGGAGAAGTGAGGAAGAAAATAAATGAGATATTCTCCTTCTTGGAGATGATGTCCACAGAACCCTTTTCCTGAAGAGATAGACTGACACAGACGAAAGAGAGGAACAGTCAGCAAAGTTGGAAGTTTAACAAACATCTCTACAAATAAATAATAATGAGTCCTTCGGTCTTTGACTAACAAAAACTATGTCTCAGTTTTTCTTCTGGCTTTCCTCTGAAATGTTTTCAGTTTGTGAAACAGTTCTCCTGTTAGACTAACAGTTTGTTAGTCTACATTTTTACAGTAGTAACTACGTTTTAATGCAAGCAAGATGAACTGCACTGATTTTAAAAATTGATAATTTTTTAGTAAGAAGGTTTTTTGTGTGTGGCTAAATGACATACTGTGTAGAAGTCTGAGAGTACCATGTCTGTAGAGCTACCTTTGGCAATTGGCTTCAATAAAAATATCTTTTCTGGTGCACTAATCACTTTTCAGTGATTAGTCATTCACCCTGATGTGTGGCATGTGCCACAAAGGACTCAGCATTTTGAATAGCATTTTATGTATTTGAAACTACCAATATTTAGCTGTAGGAATATTGTTATATTTTCAAGAGAAATAAAATTATAGCTCTCTATGATATATAACACTTTTCTCTTTCCTGGGTTCTTTGGTTTCTAGGGTTCAATTCTAGCAGCCAGCTCAGAAATCCATCTCTGCTGCATTTTCTCTTTCTCTCAATTTCTCCTCAAGTTTTCTGAAAGAAGCTATAATGGAAAAACAATTACTTGTCTTGGCAAGCTGCCATATAAAATCATAGAGTCATTATGGTTGGAAAAGACCTCTAAGATCATGGAGCCCAATTACCAACCACAGTGCCCACCACTGCACCCTGTCCCTAGGTGCCACACCCCCACACCTCTAGAACACTTTCAGGTACACATGGGACACAAAAAAATAAACTAATAATAATAAACTAAAATACTTTTCAAGCTGCCACAATTTTACCATCCTAACAAACGAATCAATGATCTGAAATCAGACACCGTATATATGCACACAAACGACTGATATTTTAGACTGAAAACCTTACAACTGAGCTATTAGATTCTCATCCTGTTTCAATACTGTATTTCAAAACAAATAATATTTGGTTTGAACATCTGTAGAGCTGTTTTTCCCTCTCTAATCTAAGAGCTGCTTATGACAAATTTTAAAAAATCATTATTGCTTGCACACAGTTCATCATGATGGGAAGGCAGGCAGGCTTCAAATGGAGATGTTTTACTGTACTAACATATTCTGAGACCTCAGCTGTAGCAACATGTTATTTCATCAACTGCTAAGTGAGGAATTGCTGATGTCATTGCTGTCCCTTCTTTCAGCGTGGCATGCAGAGAGATAAAATAGTTCTGCCTCGTGCAGTGGCAAAGTTTCCATATGCGAGCTGTAGAGTTAGAGACTTTTTAAAAAATCAATGGTTTAAACATTAAATATGCATCCTCTTTTTTATAATGGTCATCAGGGATAAAATGAAAATGTTTAACAGTTGATTAAATGACATGTTGCTCAATAAAGATTAAACAAAAGCTATGAGCAATGTCAGAGACAGCTATCAAATGAAGGGAAATTTCAGTCTCATTAAGCTGGTGAAATCACTGAGGCAAACACCACACCTTTTACATAGTGTGCATATTGAACTCTATTTTGCCTTTGGTAATGATGGATTTGACAACTTTTAAGACATTAAAGGATAAAATGTGCTTTGCTCCACTAAATTTCACTGGAGTAAATTTTCTATTTAAAAAAATATAAACTCATTATCTATGACAACAAAAGTAAGTAAATTATGTAACCACCAGTTTTTTTATGTGTATTTGGGTATCTCAGTGTGACAACACTATCATAGTGCTGTGCTTAGGAAGAAGCAGCTCTTAAATAATTCCAGATTTAAGTTCAACATCTGAAAATAAGCATTACTTGTAAACACAGTGTTCCTAACTACCTTCACTGCGGACAATTTGCAGAGAAAAAAAATCCACCTTTTTTGAAGTCCAAGTACCACACAAGGGTAAATTTTATGCTTTACTGTAGTCTATTTATGTTTCATAAGGGATGCAACATGTACAATCACTGGTTCCCAAAGTAGGTGGACACCCAATCTCATTCAGGAGTGTCCTTGGCTGAAATACTCTCCACACCATTGCTACCAGACCTCACCCATCCAAAATGATCCAAACATTCATACATATAGTCAAAAAGAAAGAAGTTAAGATAGCAAAGCCAATCTTTAGAAATTAGAAAAAAATTTCAGGAGATAGTCTATGTAACCTTGATTCTGCACATATCTAATATCTGATATGTGGTCACACAGGACTTTTTCACACCCACTGCAGATATTTCCTGCACAAAATATAGCTGGTTGGTTTGGTTTGTTTTTTTTTTTAATCTCTTAATTGACAACCATAATCCACCATCATATCCAATTTGAGCTTTAGGACTCTAAAATAGTCACTCCAGGAACAATCCAAGGAGGAACATAATCCCTGTTCCCAGTGGGAGAGCAGGAACAGGGATTCCTGCTGCTCTGTACTCAGGATTCAGTGAAGACACAAAGGATGGGGACAAACACCATCCAGGATTAAGGCACTTGAACTACTGTGGCAGAATGGAGTTTCCTCATGGAGTGAACTCATGTTTGCTTTCTAGTGGATAATTTGGAAAAAGGTGCATAATTGTTACAGTTTTACCCTGCTCTGTTATAGAGGCACATCTGTGCCCCTGATTGGACAACACAAATCTAAAGATGAATGAATCACCTTGGCCACCATGCTGAGGGGCAAAGACTAAGGCAAAGCTTGCCCAAAATGCCCAGTAAATACCATTTCAATGCCCAGTAAATACCATTTCCAACTGGATGTGGGTGAAGCTGGTTAGAGGGTGCACAACTGAGGCTGGGTGTCATACACAGTGACTACCACAAGCATCCTATTCTGGAGTGGTTTTGTGGTGTCAGGGAGTTTCCTTTAGCAATCTGACAGCTGCAATCCCAGATGTTGCAGTGCTGCCTCCACTGGGTGCTTGGTATGCTGCAAACACGGCTGAATGGGAATTAGAGATGCAGGAGCCACAAAACCTCATGAGGCAGAAACTGTCCCAACACCGAAATGTCTTCAGAAATAAAACTTTGAGTTCTTTTTTCACAATACAAATAATCACGTGTTCAAATTCAAAGGCATCCATTCAAAAAGCAGGCAGTCTTTTTTTTTTCTGATTTAAGGGAGAAGTTTGAGAACAGAAATTGTCATGGGAGGAGGACAGTGGTGGCAAGAGCTGGATTTAGACCTACCATGGGAGGCTGAGGTGTACAGCAGAGGAGGAGGAGGAGGGATTGCACAACAGCTCTCCATCCTTATGTGTGATGAAATTAGGGAATCCTTTCTAAAAGGAAGGCATTACTTGTGTTTATTGATATGAATCACAGCATTTGGTGTTGTGCAGAAGAATATTAGAGAAGGTAGCAAGTCTAGCTAGAAGGACACACATCTGTGTATTAGCTTATAATTCCTTTCCTATGTGCTCCCTTTCAAATTCTGCCTAAAATTTGAGTGAGAGGGTCCCAGGGGAAAAAGAACCCAGGGTTAACTGCTGTCAGTGTTCCTGACAGTGTTTCCTGAGAAAGAACAAGTTACAGGACGATGAGAAAGAAAGAGAATTGCTGCCAGAGGACTGACACACACACAAGCAATTCATAAATCTTCACTGACATCAGTGATAAAACCATGATCCATACCAAGTTCTTTGCATTTGCTGGGTGCTTGCTTTGCAGCTGCATTTCACATGACAATGGAAAGAAACACCAAAAAGATAGGAAGTGCCTATAAAGGTACCCTGGAAATCCAGGCATGTCCACTTTCTAAAACGAAGTTTAAAAATCTGAGAAGCCAATGTGTGCCATCAGTTCTGGAGATATACATCCACTTTTTTCAAATTAAAATTGTCAAATATAGAAACACTTCTGATTGTGTGTGTGCTGTAACTTTTTTGCTACAAGACCTGACTCTGCTGCAAATGACCTCCAGTTTGCACTGCAAACTTTAAACATCAGCCCATGCTAGAGAAATCTTAATGATAACAGCATCTCTTCTTGCAACTGTTGTTGTCCCTGAGTCTCTGTGAGCAACTCCCCACAGAGCCCTCAGTTGTCCCTACTCTAACAAGGAAAGCAATTTCTAAATATCTCACCATGCAAATAATATTACTTTGAAATACTGTTCCTTAAGCCAAAAATTTTCATTCAAGACCAAATATTGCAAAGGAACAAATATATTTTACACATATCCCAGAGTGAAAAATGGACAATAACCAGATAGCAGACAAAAAAGTCAGTAAGAAAATGAAAATTTATATTGTTGTATAATATTTAAGCAATGGTTCAGCTCAAAGTTACCTTTCAAAACAAACAGCAAAAGAAAACAAAATTTCTAACATGGCCATTCAGTCCTTACCTAAACCTTAAGGAGTTCCAGTAAATTATGCAGTAAATAATATATGCTTGGATTTCAAATGACTTAATAACACCAGCTAAACAAATATTTTTAATGTTGACTTCATTCAGGCTGTTAATCCTAGAACAAATTATACAAACACTCACTCTACATGGATCAGTCCAAGCCCAATGAAAAACCTATTCTAAACCTATTTTAACAAGATCATTTGGTATCATGGGCAGAATAACAGTCCCAAGTTTATTAATATTTTAAATACAGTATCTATCTATATCTATCTATCTGTCTATCTATCTATGGAAAGCAACATTGGGTTATTTGGTTTAGAATGAGAAGCTAAACTATGTACAGGACAGTGGAAGACTCCCTTGTTCAATCCTGTGTCCTGAAATAAAAACAGACCCTTCCTTTCCTTCCATCAGTAACATGACTTCAGAGTGTGATCACAACCTGTGAAATTACCTTCTCTGCTATACAATCTTCTAGAGAGATCATCCCTGTTCTCACAGCACCTGAACAGTTCTAAACATATTCCACTATTTGCTTGCCAAAAGAGAGATGAAACCTGGTTTATACCCAAATTTAAGTTAGTTAAGGTGTGTTAAAGACCTACCTCCTCCATGGCTCTGACAGAGATAGGGGAACCTCCAGACATTTCCCAAGCCCACACAAAACCCTACACAGGTCAGCATGTATTGTGCTTTGTTGTCCCATTTTGGTCTGGAGTCTGCCTCTTCTTTCTCCAGGACCTCAAGTTCAGCATGGGAGGGTATCCTGTCCTCCAGGCCAGGATTGGGCAGCTTCAGCTTTACCATGTTTTAAATTTCCTGCCTGAAAGTGCTGCCAGTGAGGGATAATGAGAAAGGCAGCTTGTCAGAACCCTGCTCAAAAAGAGAGCATCTATTTGCTGCCTTCAGCTATATATACTGAACCTTTGGCACTGGACTTGTAAGTGCAGGCTTGTGGTAAAAAGAAGCGTCAGCAAATCATTCAATTGACCAAGTCAGCTCTGACACTTATTAATGCTTTATCTGCCAAGGTTTTATGGAACAGTCTGTTCATCCAGTGGAATACATTGATTTCAGCTAATGTAATTCAGGAGATAATTTGGCTATAAACCTTAATCACCTGTAAGGATATGTAACACCCCTTGCCACTCCCCTGTTTAAACTCACTTAAACACAAATGTAGCTCTAGCAAATGAGGAATAGTGGGATTCCACTGGCCTCAGACTAAATATGGAGATTTCATATCATGTTTTACAGGGAAGATAAACTGATTGTGACTCATCATCACGTTCAGTTTCCAATTGTGTATGCCTACAGAATTGTATGTTTCATAATGAATGTTCCTCTGTAACAGATTGTACCCTACTAAACCTTCTGACCAAAAGGATGGAGTATAAAATTAGGGATTATAAAATCTGACCTTTAAAGTCATAAGCATAATCTGCTTACCCCAACACCTCTAATCAGTACAGAACAAGGTCTGAAGAACATGTCTTTTTTATAAACGGGCTTGAAATCAAAGGTCCATTCACCTTTTCAGTGACCCTAGATATAGTGGTCAAAATAAAAAAAAAAACACTAGTTAACAAATATCACAGATACTACTCCTATCCTCTTTATTTCAGCACAATCATAACAACACTGTTCCCTTTGAACCTTGTTGTTTTCAAAAGATAAGTTACTTGTCACTGAAGACTATATGTAAAATCAAACACTGTATATGTAATAAGAAATGTTGCCAGCTGCAGGTTCATTGCAGTGATACAGGGTGGTCAAAGTAAAGAACTAGGAGAAATCTTGTAAGTCCAGCCCCTGGAAAAAGAGATGAACACATGTAGCATCCCTTTGCAATCTTATCATGTTTGTTCAAAGTTGATTCCAGAGGCTGTTCAATATCTTGGGATAGAAAAGCTACAAAACCAAAAATCTTCATCCCTCACGTGGGCAACTGTATACAGTAGCCCATACGGATTTTTCCTGGGTCTTGCAATAGGTATTACTATTTCCCTAATGTGAGCTGAAATATGTCTCAGTCTGCCTTTTTCAGGACCCTGTCAAGTCTGTGGATGTGCTATCTCCTGATTAACCACTGGAGCAGCAACTTTTTTCTCCTTTACTGATTCTGCTAAGGACTTCCTAGCTTGTGGTGGAACTTCCTTTTCTGAGTTGCTGAAAGCCTATGTTCAATTTCACTCTGTTTCTGCTACACCAGCGCATTGAGCTGCACAGCTCTTCCTGAATGATACTACTACAGCATTCCCAATCTTTCTGAGAATGTGTCAGGAACACATTTAATTGCCATGCTACTAATTTTGTCCTTAGTCATTAGTAGAAGAATGGCAAAACTTTGTTCCTAAACTGATCCTTCAGGATCTGCCTTAGCAGCCTCCCCTTAGACCACCTTCTCTTCTTTCAAGCACAGCTTACTACCATAATTAGATTTTTACCTAGTTCTTTGTTCCCAGAGTCATCACAGAATCATAAAGTGATTTGGAAGGGACCTTAAAGGTCATTTAGTTCCAACCACTGGCAGGGGACATTCCACTAGACCAAGCTGCTCAAAGTCCCCACCCAGCTTGTGGATGGGTCATCCACAACTTCTCTGTGCAACCTGTCCCAGTGCCTTGCCACCTTTGTAGTGAAGATTTTCTTCCTATTATCTAATCTAAACCTCCTCTCTTCAATTTTGAATCCATTGCCACTTGTCCTACCACTGCATGCCCTGCCAAAAGTCCCTCTCTGGCTTCTTTGTAGACCCTTCAGGTACTGGAAGGTGCTCTAAGGTCTCCCTGGAGCTGGCTCTTCTCCAAGCTGAATAGCCCCAGCTCTCTCAGCCTGTCTTCATAGAAGAGGTGCTCCAGCTCTCTGATCATCTTTGTGGACACCTCTGGACTTGCTCCAACAGGTCCACATCTTCCTTGTGCAGTGCCCCAGAGCTGGATGCAGGATTCCAGGTGGTGACTTACGAGCACAGAGTACAGAGGAGAGTCACCTCCCTTGGCCTGCTGGTCACGCTTTTTTTGATGCAGAATTTGGTTGATTCATCTCCTGGACTGTAAATGCACATTGTGGGCTCACATCCAGGTTTTTGTCCATCAACATCCCCACAGTCCTTCTCTGCAGGGGTGCTCCCAGTCCATTCATTGTGCTGTTCCAAGCACAAATACAGCCTGTATTAATGCTTGGAACTGCCCCGATCCAGGTGCAGCACCTTTCACTTGGACTAGTTGAACCCCATTATGCTCCCATGTGCCCACTTCTCAAGCTTGTCCAGGTCCCCATGGACGGCATCCCATCCTTCTGTTGCGTCAACTGCAACACTGTGTTCATGCTATATCTCCTATTTAGCTCAATTAATACACCTAGTTGTGGTCACGTGGCAACTGGTCTACTGAAAATTTCTCTCTTCTAAGTTTCATGAGCAAGCAACTTCTATCAGGATCCAAAAAGTCAGTCCTGATTGCCTTACATTGAGAAAATCCTCCTTTCAAAGAATTTTATCTTGCTCTGGTAATGCAAGGTGCCAGTGGTTGTTAGTTATCTATCAGTTGTTAAATATTTGCAGAAGCAAAAACGATGGTCCAGCATCTAGCTCAGAAGTCTTTATCAGTGTAATAGGATGGCTAATGACCTTGGAAGGCACTGTGCCTTTTTCTGAAGGACTGACAGCACCAGCTCCAGGGTGATCCTCAGGTGCTCGGAGGTGTTGTCTATATTGCCACCCTGTGGACTGGAACAGGCAATTGGGGCTGCTCTGCCCTGTCACAGTCACTTATTTATTCAACAGAGCCCTTTCCTGTGCTCTAAGATAATCTCCTCCTTCAAGAGATGCTAGGCTTATGTTTGGCAGGTCCCACAGGTCTATTAGGGCCAATAAATCTCTATGAAATTCATCCTTTCATAATATAGGCAACTACACAAGAAATGTATTGCATATTGCTAATTATAAATGTAGGACAAAATGGATCATACATTTAGATTGGATTACTTGTGTTAAAATATTTCTAATGGCACATTTGGTTTTTTTGTCTCCTACTCTCATATCTTTGATGTACTACTTTTTTAAAAGTTAAAAAGGGCAATAAAAATAGTAAGCCAACTTTTCTGTAAATAACACACGATTTTCCAAAAACCCGATTAAAATGGAAATATTATAAAAATGTTATAAAAATCCTATATTTTGCTGGAACATACATACATAGGCATTTGTGGAAGAATGTGGGCATACTCCTTTTCCTAGATGAATATGTCTTTCATCTCACAAGATGATGATGATGATGATGGTGATGATGATGTTATGAAAGAGTATGAGACAGGGTGGCAATAAAGAAAAGAAATTATAGCAGAAAGTTATTTGGGATATAAATCAAGGCCAAAGGAAGGACGGAGCCACTTGTTTCCTTTTGTAGGGCCAGGTCTGATCATAGTGTGGTACCAGCTGGGCCAAGGGACACCTGACCACAGGTAGCCCTCAGAATGCCATGGCAGCCTGGCTCAGAGGGATGTTCCCAGCTGGGAGAGAAGCTGTCCTTCCTCCCCTGGAGCTGAGGTGCAGCCTGACACACTTTACCTGCTGGGCAGCTGCTCCTGCTGTGACCTCCCTGTGCCAGCACAGGCACCCCTGGGCCAGCACAGCTTCCTCCCAGCCCCTCAGGAAGCTATCCCATATGGAGAAGGACTGAAGGGTGCTTGCAATGAGGTGGGAGGTGGTATCTTCTCCCAGGTAACAAGTGACAGGACCCAGAGGAAATAGACTCAAGTTGTGCCAGAGAGTTTTGGATTAGGTAGTAGGGAACATTGCTTCCTGGAGAGGGTGGCCAGGCTTTGGAACAGGCTGCCCTGGGAAGTGGTGGAATCACCAGCCTTGGAAGCGCTCAAAAGGTGCGTGGATGTGGCACATGGGGACACGGTAAGGTGGCGAACCTGTCTGGGAGAATGATTGGACTCAATGACCATAGAGGCCTTTTCCAACCTCAGTGATTCCATGATTCTGTGATTCCAAGGATGGGTTCTTCTCTTCCATGAGAGAGTGGAGGCAGCAGGCTGAAGGACCTGGCTGAAGTGCTTGTCTGCAGTGCCTGACCCTCGCCTTCCCCACCATGGAAGGAACCACAGCCACCTCCAGGACATGCACGGTGGTGCCAAGGGTGCCAGGAACCCTGCAGGTGCTGGCAGAGCTGAGCCAAGCCAGGCCAGGGCTGGCCAGAACTGTGGCAGCAGCTGGAATAGAGGTGGCAACTGCTCCGTGTACAGTTTCCACCTCTGGAACTTGTAGTATTTCACTGTACTGTAAAGGAGGATTTGAACAGAAAACAAGGGCTCAAGCAGCTTGTCTTCTTTTAGGTGTAAGTCCATCTGCTGACAAGGACAAAATCAGAACAGCTGACAGAAACATCCTGATAAATGTGGATCACCAGAGTTAGCAGCAAAAATAAATTAAGCAAAAGACTGGAATCCAATTCTAAAAACTGAAGTTTGAAGCTTTGGGTCCCAAAAGATTCAGCAGATTCCTTGTGCAACAGATTTCAGGTCAACTTCCTCTGCACAGTTTCATAATAGTGTATTGATTGTTCCTATTTATTTTCACAATAAAACATTTGAGATAATTTAAAAGCCAACTGAAATCTTGTACAGTTATGTAAAGCTGTGTGCAACTATGCTCCTGTGAGGAGCAGGGAGTTGGAACTGATTCTGTGCTCCTTCCAATTCAAGATATTCTATGATTCTATGATTTTTCTGCCCTCCATTACAGGCTGCCTTGGGGCAAGTTTTTTAATCTGGATCCTGTGTAGGGGAGGACAAATAGG